CCGAAACCGATGGCTGATGATTAGGATCTTATTTCTAACGAACAGCTGCTTATCTTCGGCAAACTAGGGAATGATGAGTGCTAAATTAATATCGATAGGTTAGGTATTACTATCGGCCATGAAACGTTTTCATTCCTCAGCTGAAGGTTATTGCAGTGGTAATTATGTACTCACATAACTCACGAGTTAATATTAGAGATGGATATTCGAACATGAATAACTGATTCTAAGTGACCGATGCGTCACGTAAGCCACTCAGAAATGAGCTATGAGTAGATGAAAAGTAGCAGTAATTGCATCATGGGTCAATATTTTATATTAAGAGTATTTCAGAGTTGTATAAATTCTGATTACTCTCAGCCATTTCAAAGTTTTCCTACATTCAGTGTAAATTTCATATTTCTACTTTGAGAACAGTCGTTCATGAGCACGTCTTGGTGGTTTTCTAGTAAGCTACTATGGACATTTATCATTTTAAATGAATTTATTGGAGAGGTGAACACTACATTTCCTCGTAGTTGTATTCACCACTTAAACAGTCAACGGTTAAAATCTGTCTGACAGAATCAGATGAGAAATTTGGCTTCGCACATCTAACAATCTATGCAAGAAACAAGATACAACAAAAACAATACTAACTTCTTCTGATCCATTGATATCGACAGTCGTATATATATGCTCGTAAACTTCACGGATCATGTTGCAAAAGTCTGATTGCAGTATGCGTTGCAAAGCTGCCAAGTTTGACGGCTCGATTTCGGGACATCTCTGAAGAACTTCCAATAATTCTAGGACCCTATTAATATCTAAAACATGAATAAAGAAAACATGACTATTTACCTCTCTGCAAGTTCAATGACTCCGCCATAATCCAGTTATCAATATCTCCGTAACGCACATTGGTACTTTTCACGATCACTTTGGAAAGGACAGGAGGCTTTGTGGCCTATGTCAGTCCTAGAAATTTCGATCTGTCAGTCGATGCGTTTATTTTTTTGAATGAGTCGACAGACCGAGCTTCAAGCAAATGTGGGACAAACGAGATACATTCAATGGGAAAGTCGAGAGTCAGATGATGATAAGTAATTTGTTCTGAGATCGCGAACTTTATTAAAGTGATCCTAAGTTATAAATTTCAGAATACATGGAAGATTAGGGCATTTCAGATACAAGGTTATCATTAAGTTATTCAAAACTGTTGTATAGTCGCACACGGTCCTTCCATGTGACTAAGGTCATAGGTTTAGTTGAATCAGCCTTCAGTTACATGATGGTTCTGTTACTCCAGGAATCAACTTATTTTCGGTTTCTGCAACCTGTCTCGTTAGGATAGGACGAAGAAATAGTGAACAAAATTCAAAATATCATAACATCGATACAGCTAAATGCTCTAAGTTTAGAATATATGTTTTTAAAGCCTTTCCCGGTTATCGCACAGCAATATGCATTCCTTTGCAAGTCTTGCCTATTGATGACTGCTTGATTATTATATGTCTGTATAAAAGGTAACTTTGTGTCTTTTCCCGTTTATTTATAGGCGTTTTGTGACCGAAATGAATCATGGGGCACTCGGAAACGTTTGCCTGCAATTGCATCATTTCGAGCCATTTATATACTAGCAGGATTTTGTGACAAAAATTGGCTGTTATAAACCATGCTGCTTCTCACAACGTATCCGGTTTCAAAAAAGTACGTGAACAGATCCTTAGGAATAATGTCCTGTGACTTTTTTGAAGAGAAGGTTTACTATGATGGTGAAGGGGATAGTTCTCCTGATAAATTAGATTACTTTGTCTTCACTCTTCTGGATTTTATCAGCACTGGTTGCTGAGAAATTTTCGAAACAACGTGCTCTATTGTCAAAAAATTGAGTCATGCCTGTTTCCGTGATCACATATACGTGCTGTCTTATTGAGGTTTATCTGTACCCGTAGCTCTCATTGCCGGAAATGTAGTGTCACAGACCCAAAGGTCATTCAGATGGCTTCGTTTTGCACCCCAAGTTGCCACGGCGTCGTCAAAGCCATACAACCTGAAGATTTGAGATTCCTTTGTCCCATTCACCAGCATATAACTCTTTTTTAGTTCAGTTACAGCCTGTGGTTTTCTAATTAGTCTTTACAGACAAGAACTCCTGATCCTTTCAGTTTATGTCCGTTCTGTACTATGAGTAGCAATTTATTTGAAGTAAACACAATCTATTGTTTTCTATCACGCCGTCGATTCCTCGAAAAAAATATATTTGTCCATGTATCCAGAAATAACACTCATTCTCTCTAACTTCAGTGTGACGGTGTGCTGCATTTACAGTGCATGCTACTTATAAGACTCGTTCTAAGACATACACATCATCCTGGTGTAGAAACTAACGAGAGATCAACGGGTTATTCTGCAGCGAGAAGAAAGCAAGTGTTATGATACCTCATTGTGGTTATAAAAACAACAAGTTCATGACACTCAAGTTATGGGACCGTACCAAAAGGAACTTAGCACATTGGAATAAATTGGTTTACATCAGCATGTCACAAATAAAAGATAGTTCTTTTTGTTCTGATATCTCTGTTTAAATGTGCATTTGTTTATTTACCGAATTGATCTATAGTTTCGAATCCTATATTACTCATCAGAAGTTCAATATGACCATTTTCCCGATACGGCTAAAACCTCTCATGCTACATAGAGCAACACCTTCGAACATCAGCAACCGCTCTAACGTAAAGCAAATACATTTACAAAGACTAAAGACGTATCGACCAATAAGTAACTGTCAAACCGAAATCATAAGAGGCTGACAGAAACGTAAATACTTATATAACACCAAGTTTTGTGAAAAAAACAGTTAACTGGTTTACAGACGATCAGCTCCTGGTCCAGGATGTTCACGTCCATACACTAATAGGAAGTAGTGACAGTGGAACAATCATGTTTAACATGGTTGTAAACGAAGTACACAGGCGGAGTGAAGACGAGCCTCACCTTTGCTGAAAAAGATCAAACTACATGTTAGTTATTTCCATAACTAATTGTAGTTATGCCATAACTAACCAATCAGATTGTAGTTTAAGCGCTCACCACGCTATCTAGTCTGACCGGTATGTAAACCTTCTTTGTTGTAAATGACCTGTTGATTGAAGTACGTTATTATTTTAATATACTGATGTAACTCATGCTTTTATTCACTTTCCAAAGACACGCTTTACTGGTCGGTACGTTTGCTCGTCTTACTTGATAATTGTAATTTCCTTATTTATTATACTAATTTTATCGCTTTTTTGTTTAGAAACAGATAAAGTTTAAAACCAAGTTGACTCTATTCTTAATATTGCTTTACCATAGACTCTATGCTCGCCAGTATTGCGTTTACTGTTCTAGAATTACATCTGTAGGACTAATAAAATCCTACACTACACGTCCATGAGAGAGTATCTTCTGCACGCCACATGGTCACCGGAATGATGGAAAATAACAGTAAATGACCACTGGCAAACGGTAGTAGACATCACGCAGAATGCTTTCCTAAGCGATGTAGCTCAGGCATATCACACACCGAGAAAGAGAAGAATTTGTATTAAGCAAGGCAGTGGACGCTTGCTAGAGGCAAGATTGAGAGCCTGGGAATAGTAGAAGGTTTCTCTACGCGTTCCACCTATAATGAAACGCAGATCTAATGTCAAGTGATAGGAGACACTCATGACTTAGTACTGAGGAAACTAAAACCCTTGCCACCAAGAAATTCAACAGCATGTGACAATATTCGCCCCATAGTCTTTAAACAGTGTGCAGAAGCCCTCTGTTCATCGATGTTTGACGTGCTCATCCATTCACTGCAGTCACGCTAACTCCTAGATGAATGGAAACAAGCTCCTCTATTCAATCTTAAAGGAGTATATAGGTAGGAACCGACCTGTTACAGAATAGTTGCATGACTACCAGTACTAACAGAGTAATGGAAGGACTCTTGAACGAAAAGATGAGAGATACATGGTTAGGAAGAAAACACTCCATGAAGCTCAGCATGGGTTTCGAAAGGCAGGTCGTGCTCACCTACTCTTCTCATAGCATGGGATAGTTGGAAATCCTGCTCCGATCGAATAACACCGGTGCACATGATATTTCTAGACTATACTATCTCGGCTCAGAAGCAACCTTGAGAATAAAGAGTTATGTATCAAGGTAAATACGGTGCACACGAGTTGACGAGTCCCAAAATCAGGAGAATTACAGAGGATCATCCAAAGTCCACAACCCTTTCCGATATTCAATAATAAATTGATAAATAAAATTTGCTCAGTGGCATCGATTTACGCTGAAGATGCAAATATCTCAAGGTTCAAAAGAAGCGAGGATCATTCTGAAGAACCTCGAATCAATCGAGGAATAGGTAGTAGAAAACAAGTTAAAACTGGACCAGTCGTAATATCATGTTATGAACATTCTGTCTCACGTGACAAAAACGTACATCCCCAAATGGAATTCCACTCCCTAATTTCTTCTCAGAGTGCCTAAATACCAGCTAGAACTACACAGGTGACGCAGACAAGACTAGTTTAACTCTTCAATTTATGCGAAGACAATATAGTTTGATCACACGGATTTCGTTTTTATTCCTCTTTAAAGTATACGCAAGGCCACACGAATTTCACACTGTCATCGCATTTCTATCCTTAAAAAGGAAATAAATATCCTTGTACAAGTTCAGAGACGAGCAAGGAAATGGGTGAAAGGGTTAAAGAACATACCTTACGAAGATAGACTTCAGAACTTGGGATTATTCACTCTGAGTTGCATAGGAATCAGAGGAAATCTGGTGATGGCATAAAACATATTAGCCACGTTAGATCATCCCGACCTAAGTATCTTGCCGAAGCATGACCAGTGATCTCCTCTAGGTGATCATGGGAAAACTGCACATCACTTAGCGAACACCCAGGTTCATGCACACGTTTTATCACTGAGAGCTGTCGCAACTCGCAATGATCTCCCAGTACAGATGACCACAGCCACATCATTGGAAAGCTTCAAGAAGAGGTTTGATAAGGGTGTACTCATATACGGATAATCATCTTCCATATGGACTGGCTGTGCCTAATACATGTCCGAAAACTTGCTACTTGTAACTAAAGCAATCTCCTCAGATCATCACCCTAATCTATATCGCATATTATATTTGTTTCTTTTCCTTCGCTTACACTTCGGCCCTCTTGAAAATCCTAACTATTTATTAATTAAATTACTTTTCCATTTATTTACCTAGTCCTGAAATCTTCTGATTAGGATTAGAGTTTTTTCCTCATCATTCTCGACATTGCAACTTATTATCGTCGACCTGATAGAGTGGTAGCTACATGTATTCAGAAACCCTGCAGCCCTGAAACAAACGTATTCATTCAAATCACGAGACATGCAAACTCACAAACAACTGAGAACTTACTGGAATCAGGCATTCGAGTTTCCAGACCCTCATCCACTGGACACTACTAAAAACCCAGAACTGTACGGAAACAAAAAGTTTCGAACGCAAGGAAATCAAATGCTTTATACTAGCTCGTGAAAATTATATTAGATACTGGCATAAGAAGATGTTTAATATTGGATCACAGTGCCCGACGCACGCCTAATCGAAAAGGTTGTGGAAATGGGCTTCACTGACCCACTCGTATCTTGGCTCAGAAACTACCTCGAGAATAGAAAGTTTCGCACCAAGGTAAACAGGGTGCACGCGAGTTGGAGAGTATCCACTTCAGGAGTTTCACAGGGGACCATCCCAGGCCCACTCCTCTTCCTGATATTCATTAACGACCTGCTAAGCTTACTTAGCTCACCGGCACTGATCTACGCATACGATGAGAAGATCTGGAGGTCCATTAGAAGCGAAGAGGATTCGACTGAGCTTCAAAAGGACCTTACATCCATTGAGAAATGGGCAGTGAAAAACGGTTTAAAACTCAACCAACCGAAGTGCCACGTCATGCATTTCCTGCCTCATATGACGCAAACCACCTACACTCTCAATGGAAGTCCGCTCCCTAATGTCTCCTCAGAGCGCGATCTTGGTTTAATAACCACAGAAAGCCTCCACACCAGTCCAAACTATGTAGGGGATGCAGCCAAGGCAAATGCGACTCTTCACTTTATGCGAAGACAGCTTGGTGCTATAACCCCGAAATTATTTTTAACCCTCTTTAAGACGTACGCGCGCCCACACCTGGAGGTTCACAACGTCATCGCACCCCCTCTGCTTAAAAGAGACATTAATCTCGAGTGCAGAGACGAGCAATCAAATGGGTGATAGGGTTGAAAAATAAACCGTACGACGATAGACTCCAGCTCTTGGGATCATTCCCACTGAGCTTCAGGAGAATCAGAGCTGACCTGATTATGGCGTACACCATATTAAACACGCCAAACCATCCCAATGTGAGCATCTTACCGATGAATAACCACCACTCCCCTCGAGGCAATCCTCAAAAGATTGCACATCAAAGAGCAAATACTCGGACTCGTGCACACTTTTTCTCATTGCGAGTCGTCGCAACTTGGAATGCTGTCCCAGTCGAGGTGACGACAGCCCCCTCAGTGGACTGCTTTAAGAAGAGACTTGATAGTCACGTACTCAAATACGGACTATCATCTCCCTCTTGGACAAGCTGTGCCTGATGCATATCTTGAGACCTGCTAGTTGTTACCATTGCCATCTCCTCAGATCACTTAATTAATCTATCTCGCCTATTCCTCTACCTTGCTTACACTTCCGTCCTCTCTCACAATCTTCACTACCAATTAATAAACTGGATTATCTATATATTACTCAGTTCTGAAATTTTACTAATATTATCATTTTAATTTATCCTTATTACCCTTATTACTCTCCACATTGCAACTAACTGATCTCCGGTTTGGTAATGTGACGGCTGCTAGTATCCAGAAACCCTACTGCCCTGAAACAAACGTTTCATTCAAATCCCGAGACATACAAACTCACAACCAACTGCCAACTGACTAGAATCAGACAGTCGAGTGGCTAGACCTCCATTTATTGGTCATTAGCGAACACCTGGAACCGTACCGAAAGAACAAGAATCGAGCGCGAAGAAATCAAATTGGTTTACACTAGCTCGTGAAAAAGATATTGAATATTGGATATTGGAGGCGTAAATACGATACCTGCGTTACCGTGAGGGTAGTTTGACCTTCGAACACCTGTTAACTTTATGTAAATAATCACAAATCTCTGTCCGCTTACGCAAAGTAAAGCAGTCAGTAATCTTTCTATCAAAGCGTGTTTGCAATTATTTTTGACTTCTCTATTAATAAATATCTAATTATGCAAGCGTGTTGCGGAACTAATCTTTAATGCTGAAATTTATCATCAGATAATTTCGGGGTGTAAGTACGTTATACAAACTAACCATTTTACATATTTGGGCAAGCAACTTCCAAGTCAATGTTATTTGCGTTTAATTTTAGCATTCTATTGTCTGGTTACATACCAATTATAACCTGAATTATTTATTGTGTCTAGTTAAATACTTTTTTTGTGTGACTGTGATAACGCATAGTCGTTAGCATTTACAAGAAGTCTTTTGAATGACTTCGAGTTGTACTTTTTTATGGTTGAATTAATCTGTCCTGTATGTGTGCTCATTATAATAAAAATCAATTATGATCTTATAAAACTATAGGTTATGTGAAAGTTATTAATGATTTTGATTTTATTGATTTATTACTTGTGATCATAATGGTTCTTGGTCGCCCAAATCAAACAATAAGTCGAGAAAACACCTGCAGCTTCAATAATCACTGGGCTATTATTGCGAGATTTCACTGGAGTTATTGCCATTCGTCTAAACATTACAACCTTAAAAGGGGCGAAAAGGTACCAGTATCGGCAGTGTCTGCGCCCTAAATAGTGAAATGTCGCAACACTTAATCTCTAATAATCTAGTAACTATGAAGTAACTGCTTCATTTGACATCAACATACCAGCCGCTTCTCTAGTCTCAGTGATCATGAGCCGATAATAGACAATGTAAATAGACTAACATCAGACCCTTTTCTTATATCGAACGTTTATTTATGTTTCATAATTTATTGCAGACAGTGGGTCTCCGCACACCTCATGAGGTAGATAATGTGATACTGGGCTTTCTCTGTTTTGTATTTCTCGTTACATTTCTTTATGTAGTGCTCTGTAATAAATATGGTACCGTGAGAAGACGTAATTGATCTGAAAAATGTGATGTATTTGCGCTATACATTGTTCGAAATGTATAGCACAAATACATCACATTTTTCAGATCAATTACGTCTTCTCACTGTTCTATCAAAATTTATAAAAGGGACTAATTGTTTTGAATATGGTACCATTCTATTTTGTAGGTAATACATCAGAGAAGCTATCACTTTTCGTGATGTGCACACTTAGTCGGAAAAAACTACATCATCAACTCGAAAATGTCAAAGCATTTCAAAATCCGAAACTTGAATTGGAACAATACTGTACCTCAGCACATGTTGCAGGTTAGTTAGTAAAATACTAAAAGTAAACAATCACTTGTTTAGCGGACATCCTATTTAATATTCAAATGGCCGATAATGCGTTACAAGACATGTCAGTAGCCGATCTTGGATGTGGTACTGGAATATTGTCTATTGGTGCTAAACTCCTTGGGGCTAGGTAGGAGAATGAAACTACTTTGATCTTAATAATAGATATCAGTTGTGTACTTGGGTTCGAAATTGATGAGGATGCTGTAAATGAGTTTCAATCAAACTTAGAAGCATGTGGAATGTCAGATGAAAATATTAATGTCACTTTATGTGATGTAGTACGCCTCTTTCGTGAAAGCAATAAGAAAGTTGTAGATACAGTTATCCTAAATCCTCCTTTTGGCACCAACCCGAAAAACAATGGTAACGTCTTACTGGCATGTTAATCTTATTTTCTTTAAGGTATCGATATGGCGTTCTTACGTGTCGCATTGTCCATTGCGCATTCACACGTTTATTCGCTTCATAAAACTAGTACACGAAAAGTAAGTTTAATGAGTTTTAAGATATTAAAAATTTATAACAACGGTCCTGCTGGATTGGTGACTGAATGTGATTAGAAACTAGTAGCATACGAATTCGAACAAATATGTTCTTACGAATATCTAGCTGATACTATTTTCTGAGCTACACGATCCCATGACTGCTAGCGATAATCGTATGTTGTCGATCTCAAAATCCTCATAGGTAAATAGTAGAATATGCTATTTTCGAACTCGGTCTCAGCAAATAAACTGATACTTAATGTCTTGATAAATAATCTGGTTGAAAATTACCAATCAGTAATGGAGAACCAGCTACTTTGAGATGATGGAGAAAAATTGTAGCTCAGGTGGATGATTGTGGTGGTGTTTCGTTCTCTGAGCTGGTTGTTTTGGTTCTGGAGCTTTCATTGTTCTTCTGAACAACATCATCAACTACGACAGCAACAACCCAAGAACCCACAAAATCAACTGCATACAAACTTTGTTCAAGAGAGCGAAGACACACTGCAGCACATACGAAGCATTAAAAAACGAGGAAAAACACCTGATGACGACTATCTTCCAAAAGAACGGCTATCCACGCAACTTCATCTAGAAACATCAACCGAAACCATCATCAGAAGCGAAATCAAGCACAGAAACAAATAAACGCATCATCCTACCATACATCAAAGACATATCAGAGCATACAGCACGACTACTGAAGCCATTTGGAATAGGTGTGGCACAAAAACCAACAGAATCACTTCAATCAATCCTATGTAGACCAAAGGAAAAAATGACAAAGGAAGAAAAACCAAATATCATCTACAAAATAAATTGCTCAGATTGTGAAAAACACTACATAGGACAAAGTGGACCACCTCTTCAGCTCCGTTTACGTGAACATCAATTAGCAGTCAAACGCCACGACAACGCTACGCTTATATCAATACACACCGACAATTATGGACACATATTTGATTGGAACAGTGTGGAAATACTAGGTAGGGGGAGGACAAAGAACACTAGAGAATTTTTAGAAGCTTGGCACTCAATCAGCAATCAACAAACACATCGACATTGACCCAATTTATCAACTAATCAGGAAAATCATAGGTGACATAGAGTCAAGAAACATATCAAAAGGGGAGTGCAATCAAAACAAAGTTGCAAACAACGACAGGTCAAAAGACAACAGCGACCAATCAAGATCGAGGTTAGCAGAACAAGCCACAGGTCAAACGTGGAGAAATTCGAATGCTTCACTTCTTCTATCTTAATTTTGTGCTGATGATGTTGTTCAGCAGAAGTACAATGAAAGCTCCACAACCAAAACAACCAACTCAGAGAACGAAACACCACCACAATCAGCTACTTTGTCTAGTGATACATAAAAGTGTTTGATTCGACGTGAGTACTTTTAAGCATAATCCCCATATACATAATGTAGAAGTGGTAATAGATAGTTTAAGACAATCCAAATTTAATTTAACGACAGTTAACGTTAAGCCACAAAATTTTCACTTAGAATTAGTTTTTTCCCCAAATATAAACAAAAAAAGAATGTTTGTATTAGAGTTAGCTATACATGAGTCCAATCAATTCTGTTCCTATGAATATTTACACGGGAATAAAATTAATAAAATATTGGCAAGCAAAGAATTGTTTGGAAAGTAGTTTGATTTAGCAGTTTCGATGAAGTTTATCAGTCTTAAAGCATTAGGGAATAGAAAAATTTTGTAGTGACAAGAAGATTTTTATGTGTTGGTCAGATTTCTTCAGTTACACTCACTTTAATAAGTTTGAAGATTAACCATTAACTATCCTCATACAAATCCTACCTACTAAAGCTAATTTCAATATCGACGGAGTGGAATCATACTACTTATCAGCTGTTTCGATTGCACTAAAATACTTCCTATCCAATCAGTGGCGCCCAATTGATCTGTGAATACCAGACAGACAGTGCTGTTAGGGGTATGAGGGTGGTTGTCAATCCCCGGCTGCCCACACCGTGGAAGGGTGTTCCTTGAGGAACCTGAAAAGGAAGGTAGATTAGTGTCGGTCTTAGAGACCTGGAAGCGTGACCACAGTGCGCAAGGGACAACTGCTTGAGGCTGGTCACGCACGACCTTTTTATGAAAGGTTTTTAGAGTGTTAGCTCCGCTCCTTTTAAAAGCCCTTATTGGGCAGCCCTTACCGATGGAGACGTAAATCCGTGAGGTAGGGTGAGGTGTGACATTTTTAGGGTCGACCTTGTGAGAAGGCAGCATCACTGCAGATGCTGGTTGTCCGAGGGAAACACCTTACTGCTGTCATACCCCTCTGCAGTCAGCAGTACGACTTCGATCTCAGACTTTGAGTACCAATCACCTTTTTGAGATATAAAGCTTTCAGAATATGTCCGGTAAATTACAATGGATAAGCATCTTTCTCTGCGTGTAGGCTACTGTGTGTTGTTGATCGTTTGTCGTCTGCATTCACTTCAGTTACCAAATATCCTGTCGTATGAGTTATTTGGCGAATATAGGAACACAACATATCAAGTTAGGATGAGTGCTCGACATTTTTACGCTCTTAATATCTACCATAGCTATCAAACTTAGAATGTTTACTAAACTTGTACCAGGTATCCTACATCTACCAATATGACTCAGTCCACTTGTCAGTGACTTCATGCATTTCTGCCATGTTTTGGTCTGGCCGCCCCTAGCTTTCTTCCAACCTACTCCTACACTGTAAAACATAGCTCGTCGAGGCAGTCGGTAGTTAGGCATTCAGTAAGTAACAATACTATGTGTTGTGTCAACTAGGTTCCCTAACCATACATAACTACCAAATTATAAAGTTAGACTACTGACGCCTAAGCTGGCCAGCATATCCTATGTGTTAAATTATGTTCGTAAATGTCTCACTTATTTTGATAGATAAGTGACATTACAACTTCAGTCAAACTAAATTAATTCGTAATTACAAAGTAAATGACAACTATTAACAATATTTTAATACTAAAAATTAATTACTAAGCACTGAATATATGTACTAGCAACGTACAGCAATCGGACGGTGTTTGTTATAACTAAAGTAATACCTTGTCAAAGTAGAACCCACCAATCTAAAGCTTTGCGTTATAGTGCACAAATTAAAGCTACACACTATTAAATGACGTATCAACTACCTATACTACAAACTCTTTACACAATAGTGTTTAGAACATGTAAACCTTAGCATGTTTCGTGATGCTTCATTTACAAACTTAAAGTCTGTAAACCCGTCATTTGATTTTGACTAAATGTTGGTTGGTGTATAGTAGGCATACCTTGAATAGTATACAAACACAATCGTAGGACTTCAACTTGAACCTAGAAATAACAATCTAAATGCGTACTTGATAAGACGTATTGTTTAGGAACAACTACTGTAGCGAACAAGAACACAGGTGGGGGCAACCGAATTGTATTTAGCGAAAATTACAGAGTTACTCATTAAAATCGTAAAAACCATATCGTAAATCGTTCATTTGCAAAATATCAGTCCATCATATCGAACTGAACTGTTCCTGTTGCAAAACATCAATCCATTGTCACTCACTATTCATGCGTTTCATACAAATTCCATTGTGTTCTTCTAACTCTTCCCCATCTTCTGCTGCCAGACATTACGTTGACACTCACGTCACATACTACTTATAAGTAGCTCACACCACACTATCTACTGAAATGTACACTGACTAACGGTTTACTTTATTATTGTTTTATAACTGTTATAGATAGCAGTATTTATTTATTCATTCATGTTTACTTTTTCTGTTATACAACTTCATATTAGCATGTTCTACGTACTATACAAAGTACTGGTGCACAGAGTAAAGTAGTTGCTGAACTTCGTTATGATTTGCCACGTTCATATAAACGTCATCGTTATGATACTGTAGATATAGCTGTCGACTTGGTTCATTCATGGTTTTAATTTGATGAATAAATTTTTTACATTCATTTCAATTTTGTTTGTTTTTATAGAAAAAAATTACAACTAAGTTAGCTCACAGTTTTGGAGGTTTGCGTTTTTTACACATTTGAAAATCCCTAGATCGATCAGAGTTAGACATTAACACCGTTGGATGCCGGGGCCCAGTGGCCCGATGGTAAGGCGTTCGCCTACAATGCCAAAGGTCCCGGGTTCGAATCCTGCGAGGCGCAGGAGTCGTGGATGCGCACTGCTGAGGAGTCCCATACTAGGACGAAACGGCTGTCCAGTGCTTCCAGGTTTCTCTAATGGTGGTCTAACAATGATGATTGATTAATGATTTCAAATGTGTAAGTTGGGTCAGTCAGTCAGTCAGTCAGATGCAACGTAGAACTCTTTGTACGTAAGTACATCAGTTCATGTTGCCATACCACATTATTAGCACAGAGATATAATTGTCAATTCAAATCCAATAGTAGAAGAGGTAGTAAAAGGTATTAGAAGTAATCGGAGAGGTTAGTAATTAGAAGATATTATTCATTCAAGAAGTATGATGATTCAATGAGAAAAGTTTAGAAAGTCAAAACTAGAGCAGGTTAAAGAATCCAGATTAGGATTAGGATTTTGACAGAACACAAAGAATAAGTTAGGTGATGATTCAGTAATAGAAAGCATGTATTTTTTTTGTTTGAATGTTAATAATCATTCAGTACATTAATGTAAATACTACTACATACATCCAAATAATGTACAAGACCTGTAGTAGTAGTACTACTACTACTACTACTCAATACTTTTTTATCGTACAGATGACCAAGAACACCAACGATATCGTCTTCTCCCTTTATCAGGCAATGCATTATAACGTCCAGGAATAGGTTGTGGTCTTAATTCAGGTTCTGCATGTAACATTTCAAATAGTTCACGTTTTTTATTATTGGTCACTTCTGATCGACCAGGATAAGAACATTTGAATTGATAGTATTCTGGTGAGCTTTTGGATGAAACCAGATCAACAGGTGGACCAATTGGTTTTATTTTTCGACCGAATCTTCCAGTTTTACGTTGCCATAATCCACTGCGTTGTTTAATGCCTCTCCATTTTTTTTCACCGAATTTACGAAATCTACGTGATAACATACGTACATACATAAATAGAAAAAATAGATAACATCTTAGCAGTAGGAAGACTTTAGTTAGGTATTATAACAAAAATACTGCATTTGTTCAACAGTTAAATACTAGTTTACACTACGTCACACAGTGCATCATAGTCTAGGAGTAACTATGACTCTCTTAAGGTAGCCAAATGCCTCGTCATATGAGGGGCGGATTGCCGAGATGCCTGAGCTTGCCTCGGGTTAAGCAATGTGCTGCCTTTGGGAGGGTTGTGGTGGCGGCTACCTCTTCGTGGTCCCGCTAGGCAACGTGGCGGTGGATACATCGCTGCGGCTAAAGTCGCTCCGAACGCTGGGGGTTCCGATCCCTAAGCGTAGGAAAATTCCCGAAAGGGATATAGTAGGATGATCGAGGGCGGCCCTGGACCCTATGTTCGGGGATGCAGCCGCAGACATCCTGTACTACTGACGCCGACCCTATGTGGTTGTCCCTTACATGCTTCACTCGATGTTGTGCGTGAACTGGCATCGAGGCCCCTTAAACAAGGGTCTCAAGTTGGGTTCCGGTGCTTTAGTGCTGTAAAAGGCATTGAACACCAATGATGTCTGCCCACTTCTGTAGGATGAACCCTGCTTGGCTGAGCGCTTGCGTTTGGTCGAGTTCATGACATCTTCCTCATGGAAGGGTGTACGTTCTAGCTGACCTTGTGGGACAAACTCGATCTTTAGCTTTATGTGGGGTAAGACGGACCTCGATCGATTGTATCAACGCAAGGCAGTTGGAGGCCAGACGGTTGGAATGGCTGCTGGTTAGTGCACTGCTTGGGTGGCTCGGTAACCTGCTACGGGGTGCCTTGTCCGGAAGGATAAGCCCGCCTTGCCGCCCTCGCCGATTGGGGATTGTGGTTTGGTTGGTGGGATTTCTTGATTCATTAATGCCCGTGCAGGGGCCACTGCTCGTGTGCGCGCTTTTTGGATGTCCGATGTGTCTGCAGACCAAACCGGACAACATGTATGTACCCGAAAGGGGCAGGGGTGATTACTGATGGCAACAGTGAGAATCCTTGTGCTGTATATCAACGCAGCGATGTGCATGTGCAGCAGGCATGTTGGTTGACCATGAAATAGTCTAGGTAACATAAAGTATTACTTACTTACTAACGCCTGTTACCCCCAATGGAGCATAGGCCACTGACCAGTATTCTCCAACCTACTCTGTCCTGAGCCTCCCTATACAGTTCTGTCCAATCGCTGTTCATTCGCCTCATGTCTGTTTCCATTTCTCGGCATAATGTGTTCCTTGGCCTTCCTGTTTCCCTTTTGCCTTGAGGGTTCCAAGTGAGGGTTTGTCTTATGACGCAGTTGAGTGCTGTCCTCAATCTGTCCTATCCACTTCCACTATGGTTTGTTCTCTCCCAAAATAGGTTATTGCCGATAGTGTCTGACCAACGAATCTGAAGTATTTTGCGTAGAAAATTGTTAATAAATAACACTTGTATCTTCTGGATGATGGCTTTGGTAGTTTTTCAAGTTTCCACCCAATGCAGTAGAACTGCCTTGACATTTGTATTGAAAATTCTGACTTTGATGTTGGTTGACAGTTGTTTTGAGTTCTCTTCAACATAAAGTTACTAACTGTATGCAAAGTTATTCATCGCCCAACTCTATGTATCTTAATTAAGACCAAGTGTGGCATAATTTGTTCAACAAACGTGAAATCGTTTCCCTAAATTGGAGGAGTTCAAGTTCAACAATAATTATCACTGAAAATAAAGCTTATTTAGGATATTCTAGTTGAAATTGTTACGCCTGCACGTAAACACGTGATTTTGATAGGCTTGAACTATTACGAGTATACCTTAGTCGGAATACGAGAGGATAGAGGATCAGGCGACACGACATGCTACTTAAATCCGATTATCCCAACCCCCATATTGGTAAAAATAAGAAGACTTGATATGAAGTAGAAACTGTATTCTACAAGCATCCAGAAAGTACGAGGTCCGAATCCAGAAGAGAAACAGGATCCCGGATTAGGGATCCGGGACCGGGTCCTGGTCGTGAAACATTACAGACAATGTGTATTCATACATTTTGGTCGAATAGGAAACAACATCAAGGTCTGTGACATTGACAGTTAAGACGACCAATAAGAAACAACATTGGAGCACGTGACATTGATATCTAGGACGACCATAAAATTGACCAGTACGAATTAACCAATAGGAATTGACCAATAATTCTCTTAGGATATTGGATGAATATACTAACAGAAATCGACACCGCACCTACTAACAACACTTTGTAATTCAAAATAACATAAGTTTGAGAATTTGTATCTCTGTCTTCTTTTCTCAAAAACCGAAACATAAGTGTTGACAATACATATTCACTATTGAAATATGAATTCATTTAGCATATAAACCTTAAACACTGAATATACTACTACTACTACTACTGTAGTGAACGAGAACACAGGTGGGGCAACCGAATTGTATTTGGCGAAAATTTTAGAGTTACTCAGTAAAATTGGAAAACCATATCGTAAATCGTTCATTTGCAAAATATCAGTCCATCCTATCGAACTGGACTGTTCCTGTTGCAAAACATCAATCCATTGTCACTCACTATTCATGCGTTTCATACAAATTCCATTGTGTTCTAACTCTTCCTTTCTTGATCTTCCCCCGCATCTTCTGCTGCCAGACATTACGTTGACACTCACGTCATATACTACTTATAAGTAGCTCACACCACACTCGTCCCCCCTTTTAATAAGCTGTCGTCGTAGTCTTTCTGATTGCCGTACCGTTGTCATCTTTGGTGCTTTTCGTGACTCATACACTTGATAATCTTGAAACCATCTCTGCAGTTGACTAGCATTTACGCGCTTCTGCTTGTCTTCTCTCCGTAAGCCCGTTTATCTGCGGATGATACGGTGTAGTTCGTATCCTCTTGACGCCAAACTGCTTTAGACGGGCTTTAAACTCGTCACTTTCAAAACAGGGACCCTGGTCAGTTAATATCACCTTCCGTATTCCGTGACACGCTACAATATGCCGGATTACCACTTCGGTCATTGTTCTTGCCCGCTGGTCTGGAATGGATACGGCATCTATCCAACGTGTGGTGTTTACTAGTTCCCGCTGCTGGGACACGGCGGCAGGCACACTCTCGATGAACTGCGATGCCAACAACTGTGCTACCGACTCCTCATCGATATTCGGCAGAGCACGGCGCAACAATCTGGTGAGCTCCACTGAATATACTACTACCACTACTACACAAACACACATGAAATCGAATTAATCGAGTTAACTTACCTAAACTTATCATGATGTTCATTAGACACTTGTCCAACTACACACATACATGTTGGTAAAAGTTTGTATATTTTACGTTTACCATTTGTTCTAACAAATACAACATGTTCATCTTCTAATTCATTAGTTAATAATAATGTTAAATTTAATTCTTCATTCAACTTTGAACCAACATGTTTACCACGACGAAATATAGTTGCACTAGATCCGGCTGTTCGACAAAATAATGCACCTTGACCTGGTTTTATTTCAAATTGACTAATAATTGTACCAACTGGTAATGCACCAACTGGATGAGCATCACCTTCTTTTGGATCCACTTATATATGAGTTAATTAAGATAAGAAAAACAAAAAAAACAGAAAGCGTATAAACAATCTAAGATTATTATTAGAATCATTCAATAAATGTTGAAAATTGAACACTTAGTTAATTCAGTAACTGTTCGTTCACATTCAACCAAATTTTCCCGCCACAATCATATATAGATGTAGCTGAGTGTTTGTGAATATTATTCCAGGAGAAAAATAGAATTTTCTCTTCTGCTCTTAAGTTTTTGCAGATAAACAGACAAGAGAGGCACTAGGGGGTGTAGGAAGTATTTGATTTTGAACAATTTGGTCTCTCCTGCTGTTACGTGTATGAGGGCGGTTGTCACTTCCCGGCTGCTCACATCGTGGAAGGTTGTTTCTAGAGGAACCTGAAAAGGAAGATAGATTAGTGTTGGTCTTAGAGACCCGGGTGCGTGATCGCAGAGCCCAAGGGACAACTGCTTGAGGCCGGTCACGCACAGCCTTTTTATGAAAGGTATTTTGAGTATTAGCTCCGCTCGTTTTAAAGCCCTTAGTGGGCACCCTTACCCAAGGAGACGGAAATCGGTGAGGTAGGGTGAGGTGTGACATTTTTAGGGTCGACCTTTTCTAACCCTTCCTTCTTTCCTTGTGAGAAGGCAGCATCGCTGCAGATGCTGGTTTTCCGAGGGAAACACCTTACTGCTGTCACACCCCTCTGACCTTGAGTAGCTGCTTTTAGTCTCATCGTTCTCCAATCGACCTGCCTGGTATGGTAGGACCTGCAGGAACATATGTTCCAGCCAGTATAGCTCGGTTGGATCATGACGACCACCACGTCAAGGTAGCAGCTACTTCTTGCTCAAGCAGTAAACATTCTGGAAGGGGTTAGGGTGCATCATGATTAAATCTTGAACACTGCACATCATAACATGTCTCATTAGTATGATGAAGTAATCTTTATTATACTATCATTGGTTGTATGTGTTAGGGAGTACCGGAGAATCCCTCAGAAAAGTCGATAGAGGCCCGAAAATTACAGGAAACTTTTAAGCCAATCAGCATTGAACAGAACCTTCACAGAATCATCTGGAAATGGCAGGATCATATGCCACAATTTTGAATAGATATCTAGCTATACCACTACCATATTTCGTATGATTTTTAAACATTCCGATCATTGGTAACTATAAATACTCTCATTTTTCTGTACATAAACGAACCTTAGTTGCACTTTGCGTCTTTTGTTTTGTGTCCAATCTGGGGTTATTTAAAGGCGGAAAAGAATTCAAGTCTTGCGTTCATTTAGCATACTTAACAAAGTCAATTTAATTTGTCATCGAACTGGTTAATACATCTGACTATTCTCATTCAGTCAACTACTCCGTAGGACTTCATATGTACACTTACATCAGTTCAAATCGCCAAACCACATTAGCATAGAGAAATGACATTGTCAATTTAAATCCTATAGTAGTAGAAGTAGAACCTTCGGGGCTACTGCCGGTCCCAAGCCCGGGTAAAGGAGGAGGGTTGGACATGGGGTTGGCGACCCCATTCCGTCGAAATCTAACTTGCCAAAAAACGCTAACCAGAAAAAATAATTCAAAAAACCAGTAGTATTGACAGTAATGAAGAAGAATAGGGTTCGGAGAAGTTATTCAAGAACTATAATCTAGAGAAGCAAACTTAAAGATAGATAAGAATAGGTCCTGAGAGAAGATAAGGAATGTATGCATCTGCGCTACTGTAAACGATTTTGAGCCATGTCATCCAATGTCTCTTACCATCGATGACTACTGTGTCTCGCGGACCCCAACCACGCAGGCTACACCTATCAATATGATTGATTCACTCACTAACAAGGTTACATGAATGTCTCAGTAAAAAAAATCGTACAATTTAGGAAGAGGAGGAGGAGGTGAAAAAGGCGGTGATATGTGCAAGGCTTTCTTTTTATTTTTTATTTTACCTGGAATAGCAGGAATATCTACATGTGAACGAATAATATCACCAGGTTTCATGTTCACCGTTGCAATAATCCATCTTTTCACTTCACCTGAAGCGACTAAAGCAATAAATGGATGTCTCCACCATGTATTTTTGACCTAAATGAGTATGAATTAAAATAGAAAAATAAATTAGAACACAATCATTGTTTCTTTAAGTAATTGGACACTTAGTTATTTCATTCTTACTTACCATTCCTTTTTGGTTCTCATGTACATAAACCTTTTAAATTTTGTATGAACTTGAGTTGAATCATTAAAAGTAATCATTTAAAAAGTTGGTAAATTTAAACAAATGTTCTGCCATATTGTAGTGAAGGAGAACACAGGTGAAGGCAACCGAATTGTATTGAACGAAAATTACAGAACTACTCAGTAAAATAGGAAAACCATATCGTAAATTGTGTTAATTTGCAAATCTTCAATCAATCATCAATCCAATGTCTGACATTTCACTCACTATTCATACGTTTCATACAAATTCCATTGTGTTCCCCCCACTCTTCCTTTCTTGATCTTCCCTCATCTGCTGCTGCCACCAGACATTACGTTTACACTTGCGTCATATACTACTTATAAGTAGCGCGCACCACAATAGGACTAACATAGATAATTATACTTTGAGATGGTGAAGGAAATTCGTAGCTCTCAGGTGGATGATTGCAGTGGAGTTTCGTTCTTTAAGCTGAGCGTTTTGCTTGTGGAACCACAGACTGCATTGCATAACATTAGTATCTGGTTAAAACATCTTGGAACAGTTAGTCAGTCAGTTGCAACGTAGAACTTCGTACGTATGGTACATAAGTTCAGGTCGCCATACCACATTAACCATATTAACTCTTGGAACAAAGAGTGGAAAAACATTTATAGTCATAAGGTCGATATTTACAACAGTTAACTGTAGTGTCCACATACTAGGAAGTATATACACACATTAATAAATACAGTCTAGGAAGAATTAATCTCATGGTTTTAATGTTACTCTAGAAAATGTAGGTTTATTTATTTGTCTAGTTAACTATAATACCTGTGACTTATAAATTTTCATCTTTGATTCTTGTCTTCATGCTGATGAAAAGCGAATCATCAGTATCTCCAAAAACTTACGAAGACTGTGCTTAGTTATGGGGGTTAAATTTGACATAAAAAGCCGTTTTCACATATAATTTTACTAGTACTCAGATTTTCCGATGTTATACAATCCTTTCGTTATTGGTTAAAAGAATGAGATTTTATTTAGTATGACGAATAACTATAATAACCTAAGATGGACTGTTAAATGAGTGCACAAATGCATAGAGAAAGAGTATATGATGACTTATACTAGACACTGTAGTGCTTATCTCTACATATGAAACAAATATGTATTGTTCGTTGAACAGGTAGGTGGTTGGGACATGTGCTGCGTGTGCCTAACCACCAACTGCCTCGTCGAGCTATGTTTTGCGATGTAGGAATAAATTGGACGGAAGCTAAGGGTGGCCAGACCATGAAGTCACTGACAAGTGGACTGAGTCATATTGGTAGTTGTCGACTACCTGGTTGGGGTCCGTGAGATGATAATAATCGATGGTTAGAGACCTTGAATGACATGGCTCAAAATCGTTCGCAATGGCGCCGGTGCATTTATTCTTTGTGTTCTCTCAAATCCTATTCTTAATTCTTCATCACCTCTATCTTTCTCTTTTTAAACTTATCTCACTGAATTATGCTTCTTGAATTAACATCTACAAACCCTAATCTCTCCGATTACTTCTACTACTTTTACTACTTCTACTACTATGGGATTTGAAGTGGCATTTCCATCTCTCTGTGCTAATGTTGTATGGCAACTTGAACTGCTTTACTTATATGCAAAGTTCTACGTTGCTATTGATGATGATGATGATGTTCGTTCAATGTATTTTGTTTGAGACAAATAACAAATGTGAGATGTTGAAAGAAATATTTACAGTTAATAAAAGATGAACATTAATCCTGGAGTAATCTTTATGATAATAATTATGTTGAGGACAGTAGATCCCCAAAACTCGCTTGATAAATGCCTTCACTTGGATTTCACGTTTGCGAGCATGAGCTGATTAGTTGACCTTGAGATTTCATTTCCTAGCAGGAAAATCCTTGGCTGTGATCGGCTGGTGTGTATTTTACTAGTAGGCTATTTTTGTGACTGTCACAAGGACGTTCCTATGATGTATAAATAAACGAGAGTTGTGTGCTTGATTGTATTGTGTGATTGCTGGGTGTTTGTAGAATATACTTTCTACGCTATATCAAGATTTTTCTCTTTAGCCGTTTCAAGTCAACGGATGAAAGCTAACCTACCTGGACGCTGGTTCATTGTCTAGTTCTAGTTTATTGATTAAGGTGAACCCATAATATAGTTTCAAGCATACTTAGTGACGAACCTAACATATTAATTGTTTTTTTTTCTAAGCGAAAACAAATGATGGTCAGTCAGTAACAACGTAGAACTTCGTACATACTTACGTATGTACATCAGTTCAAGTTCTCATTCTACAATTAGCACCGAAAAATCAACTAGTCAATTCAAATCCCATAATAGTAAAAGTATTAGCAGTAATCAGTCAGTCAGTCAGATGCAACGTAGAACTTCGTACGTAAGTACATCAGTTCATCTCGCCATACCACATCAGCACAGAGATGTAATTGTCAATTCAAATCCAATAGTAGAAGAGGTAGTAAAGGTATTAGAAGTAATCGAAGAGGTTAGGATTAGAAGATATTATTCAAGAAGTATGATTCAATGAGAAAACTTTAGAAAGTCAAAACTAGAGTTGTTGAAGAATCCAGAAGATTAGGATTTGAGAGAACATAAAGAATGAATGCACTGGCGCCATTGCAGACGATTTTGAGCCATGTCATTCAAGGTCTCTAACCATCGATTATTATCGTCTCGCGGACCCCAACCAGGTAGTCGACAATTACCGACATGGCTAAGTCCACTCGTCAATGACTTCATGGATTTCTGCCATGTTTTGGTTAAACCACCCATTAGCAGTAATGAAAAAGATTGAAGGTCGAAACTATGCTTTCAGAAGTATAAGCCGACATCATTTTAAAAAAAAAGTCACAAGGAATTCAGAACATTAGAATTTGAAAGAACACAAAGAGTGGATGCACAGTAGCTATTGCAACCGATTTTGAGCCATGTCGTTCAAGTTCTCTAACAATCGGATATTATCGTTTTGCGGACCCAAACCAGGTGTACGCAGTCTACATACCTACTAACTCACATAACTCAGTCCACTTGTCAGTGATTTCAAGGATTTGTGTCATGTTTTGGTTTGGCCGTCTATCAACATATAAATTAATTAGCTCTTAGACTAAATATTCTATACATATTACAAATCACCTCTGAAAACAGTAACATGAGTGATTTCCATCTACAAACTTTACAACCGTCAATCATATCCAACAATAATATTTACTTGTAATACTAATTCTTCATGAATTGTTTTAGTTAACATTTGTCTAGAACGATTATGATCTACCATAAACCATGGACGATTTAATCCAGTTGTTACATGTTTCAATTGAATTTTACCTAAATATTAAATTTTAAAAAAAAATAATAAAGAAATTTAAATGAAAACGTCAAATATTATTAAAAATGTTATGAACTTGTTTGGGGATGTTAGATCCCCAAAACTCGCTTGTTAAATGCATTCAATTGGATCTCACGTTTGCCAGCATGAGCTGATCAGTTGACCTTGAGATTTCATTTCTCACCAGGAAAATCCATGACTGTGATTGGCTGCCGTGTATTTTAGTGTGCTATTTTCGTGTGACTGTCCCAAGGACGTTTCTATGATGTATAAATAACCGAGAGTTGTGTGCTGCTTGATTGTATTGTGTGATTGCTGGATGTTGTAGAATATACTTTCTACGCTTACAAAGCTTTCTATCTTCAGCTTGGGATTCAAAGTAGCCTATCTGAACGCTGGTTCATTGTCTCGTTCACGTTAATCGACTAAGGTGAACTCGTAATAGCTTCAAGCGCACCTAGTGACGAACCCTACAGAACTGAATTTAGGGTAGATTAAGTTGTTTTAAATTTTACGTTTACAGAGCGATTACTACAAAAATATGATTTATAAGAAAATTGATAAGGATACAAAAATGGGGTTAACAGTATTCTCATTGTACCAATCTTGACAGAAAAGCATTTCAACCATGTTCTCATATGATGTGATTTGAACTAAAAATCCCAATAAATCCTAGCTTCAATATACCCCAAGGCTACACGCCTCAGGTACTCTGAAAGGCAACACAAAGGTTTATTAGTATAGAACAAAGACTGGTTTAAGTAGCCGACGCACGTGATGAATCATTGCAGAAGTACATTAACCTTATACAGGCTCTCTACTCGAACACCACTGGTCGAGTGAGAGCTTATGGCGAACTGTCTTCGGAATTGGTTACATCAAGTGGTGTCCGCCAGGGATCCCATTATTGTTCAATTTTGTCATAGACATGCTGCTAGATGTAACATTATCTTTGTCTAAATTTTCAGGAGTAGACCTTCTACCAGGAGAATCGCTTATTGACTTAGAATATGCCGATGAAAGTTCTACTTGGTCAAGACGCTGAAAAGATGCAGAGTCTTCTGACCACCCTAAGCAACAATGCAAGCATGTTCCCATCGAAATGCAAAATTTTGCTTCAGCATTGGCTTGTATTGGCACCTGAACTAGTGAGGAGGCTCGATTAACTTAATCAATCTGCGTCATTTATGGCGTAGACGAGAAATTCGTCTGTTAACCAAAGGACGAGTGTACTACGCAGTAGTTCACTCCGCCCCACTATATGGATGCGACACATGGCCAGTAAGAGTTGAGGCAATTTATAGGTTGCTGGTTTTCGATCATAGGTGTCTCGTTAGGAAACGGGTATTAGGTAGGAATAGCAAATCAATAAATGAAGTCGTAAATGTTCATCAGTTGAGTTGGTTGAGACGTGTGTTACGAGTGCCCAACCACCGAGTGCTTCGACAAGCTATGTTTTGTGGTGCAGGAGTAGGTTGGAAGAAAGGTAGGGGTGGTCAGATCAAAAAATGGTACGATCCCATGAAGTCACTGACAAGTCAAATGAACCGTATGGGTAGTTATCGACTACCTGGTTAGGGTCAGTGAGACGACAGTAACCGATGGTTAGAGACCTTGAATGACATGCCTCAAAATTGTTTGCAATGGCTCAGGTACATCGATTCTTTGCTTTCTCTGAAATTCTAATCTTCTGATCTTCGAACCCCTATCTTCTCGATAACCTATTATACTTCTACTATCTCTACTACCTTAGTTAGTAGGTGGGTTTTCTTAGAGTCATTTTGGTGTCGTTCACAGGCCGTCGTAGAGATAAGAGATATATTAGGGGGGTGTAGGATGGATTTGATTTTGACCGATTTGGTCTCTCGTGCTGTTACGGGTATGAGGGCGGTTGTCACTTCCCGGCTGCCCACACCGTCGAAGGTTGTTTCTTGAGGGACCTGAAAAGGAAGGTATATTAGTGTTGGTCTTAGAGACCTGGGTGCGTGACCGCTGAGCTCATTGTACAACTGCCGGTCATGCAGAGCCTTTTTATGAAAGGTTTTTTGTGTATTAGCTCCGCTCTTATTAAAGCTTTTGTCGGGCAGCCCTTACTGCCGAAGACGGAAATCCGTGAAGTAGGGTGAGGTGTGACATTTTTAGGGTCGACCTTTTCTAACCCTTTCCTTCCTTGTGAGAAGGCAGCATCGCTGCACATGCTGGTTGTCCGAGGGAAACACCTTATTGCTGTCACACCTCTCCATCACAGTCAGCAGTAGGACTTCGCCCTCAAACCTTGAATAGTCGCTTTTAGTCTCATCGTTCTCTAATCGACCTATCTGGCATGGTAGAACCTACAGGAACATATGTTCCAGCCAGTATAACTCGGTTGGATCATGACGATAGGCAAGCCCGAGCATCACGTCGAGGTAGCAGTTACGGTCGTGTCACAGGCAGTTGTTCATAAATTATAGTTTTAGCAAACAGATTTACTAATAAACTCACAAACTATATGTCATTTGATAGTATCACGTGTTGAAATTAACCGAGTGCTTGAAAAGTTTTTGTTTTTACTAAAACGCAATGCGTACACTTAAGTAAAACAACCCGAAGTTAACTTAATTGACCATATTTTTCTTTTCAAAAAAATATAGTGTTAGTGGGACATATATGGAATAAAAGCATGACTACGATACTACGCGCTGATTGGCTAATTTCCTAATCCAATCAGCGCCTGATCGATTTTTGTAGAACAGGGTAGAAAGTTCTCGCTGATTGGCTAAATCTAATCCAGTCAATCACGTAAATTACTATCCCGAAGCTTCTCATGTAAACACTATATAGAAACCAACGTTGTATCTGTTTTACCTTCGCCTTCGGCTTCGTATTCCCATTTAACTTTTGATATTTGGAATATAATCTTTTCCTGTTCCATCGTGTGGTCAGAGAATACACTAAGCAATAAGAACTAGCCGGGAATTATTTAAGCAAGTAAGCGTTACAACATATAGAAATATGCAGTTGCAAGAAAAAATAATTTATAATAGTACAAAGTCATCATCATCATCATTAAAAATTTCAAAACTAATTTTACCATCCGGTCCACGTCCACCAGTTCGTAGTACAGGCAATGCATCAACTGTGTATTGATTTGGATCAGACAATTTTTTAATTGCCCAATAACGACTAACTGGTCGAGGATAAATGATACCAGGACGACGATTTAAATTGGAACTTGTTGATAATTCATTTTTATTGATTTTTAAAAGATTTTGACTAGATATATATTTAAAAAAAAAAAATTTCAAAGAATAAACATAATTTAAGCGCCAAACAAATTATTTAATTTGTGAGCGGACTAGGATACTACTGGTTCATTGTTCAATCATCTTAAGCAGATTGGTTTTCTTAAGTAACCAACCACCACTCCATGAGCTCTTAACCTACAGGTCTATTCCGACCAATCCGGTTTATGTGCCAGATAGTCGCTTTCTGTCTTGTTATAAAGACAGACAGACAGATACAACGCAGAACTTCGTACGTAAGTACATCAGTTCAGGTTGCCATACCACATCAGCACAGAGAAGTGATTGTAAATTCAAATACAATAGCAGAAGAGGTAGTAAAGGTATTAGAAGTAATCGCAGAGGTTAGGATTAGAAGATATTATTCAAGAAGTATGATTCAGTGAGAAAAGTTTAGAAAGTCAAATCTAGGGGGGTTGAAGAATCCAGAAGATTAGGATTTGAGAGAACACAAAGAATAAATGCACCGGCGCCATTGCAAACGGTTTTAAGTCATGTTATCGATTATTATCATCTCACGGACCCCAACCAGGTAGTCGACAACTACCGACATGACTCAGTCCACTTGTCAGTGACTTCATGCATTTCTGCCATGTTTTGGTTTGGCCGCCCCTAACTTTCTTCCAATCTATTCCTACACTACAAAACAAAGCTCGTCGAGGCAGTCAGTGGTTAGGCATTCGTAACACATGTCCCAACCACCTCAACTGAAGAAGTTTCAATACTTCATCTACTGACCTGCAATCCTTACCCAGTACCCGGTTCCGGCCAACAGACTTGCTTACTTGATTGTCCCAGGATACACGAACAATGCTTCGAAGAAACCTATGATCGGAAACCAGCAACCTACGAATATCTTCTACTCTCACTAGCCGCGTTTCACAGCCATAAAGTAGGACGGAGCGAACTATAGCGCACTACGCTCGTCCTTTAGTCGGTAAACGAATATCTCGACTACGCCATAAATGACGCAGGTTGACAAAAGCTAATCGAGCCTTCTGTATCCGAGCTGACATTTCGTCAGTCACCAGGCTATCAGCGCTGATGAGACTCCAAAGATAAGTGAAGCGGTCTACACGCTCGACTACTTCACTCCCTATCACTAGTTCAGGTGGAGATGCAACCCAATCTTGAAGCAACATTTTGCATGTTTAATCCCCAAATAGGAAAAGAATAAGTTTCCCCGGTTCTCCATTTTAATTATGTTCCCGTATGACTATTTTTTCTGACAATGATACACTCGACAAGTCCCCAAATCAAAATACAATTGAACAGGAAATAGATTATTATTCCAAATAGCAAGGTTAAATGGAAGTAAGAAGCTGAAGCCAAGGCGAAATATGAAACAACGTTCCTATGTTTATAGTTTTTATAGGAGAAGCTTCTGGAGTGTACTCGACGTGATCGACTAGCGCTGATCGGATTAGATTTAGCCAATCAACGTGCAGCTAACAATACGAGAATTTTCTAGAATGCTCTCCAAGTATCGACCAGGCGCTGATTGGATAGAAATTAGCCAATCAGCGTGCAGCTAACTCAGTCATGCTTTAATCCATTTGTGGCCCGCTAACACGTCCTCTCGATTTGATAATCAACACCTATGTCACAAGGAGGCAATGAATAGGACTTTACTGAATTTATCTATACTTGCATAACAACACAAGGGCAGTTTGAGAGGTAGAGAGGAGTCTCTCTACTCTCGGTCATATATATCATGGTATTTGGGACCATGAAATGATCCTACTATAAACAATTCATTTTAATTGTGAAATTATAAACAGTACAAATATTTTGTACTAAACTCATAAACTGTCTCTGGAATGAAATACTGTAAAAAATTTTGAAATGATTAGCTATATACAATATAACTTATGCAGTCAGTCAGTTGTAACGTAGAACTTCGTACGTATGCACATAAGTTAATGTTGACATACCACATTAGCACAGAGACGCAAATGTCAGATCAAATCCCATAGTGATAAAGATAGTAAAGGTATTAATGGTAATGAAGAAGATCAGGGTTCAAAGATATTATTCAAGAAGTATTATTCAGTAAGATAAGGTTAGTAACACACAAAGGTAGAGGTGCTGACGAATCCAGAAGATTAGGATTCGAGAGAGCTCAAAGAATGGATGCACTTATGCAATAATCAAGTATTATTAAGAGTAGACAATAAAACAAAACCGATAGCAGTGTTTTGGATGAAAAAAATGTACTGTTTGATCAGACAAAGTATCTGAATGTAAGTTTAATCAGAAATTCTAATTTTCACTTTAGAGTTGGTGGAGCTTGTTGAGCTTCAATTGAAATTATGAATCGATCAGTGTTTGATCACTCACTATATTAGAAACCTGAAAGCACTCGACGGCCGTTTCATCCTATAGTAGTATGGGACTCGTCAGGGGTGCGCATTCACGACCTTTGCTCATTGGTCTAGAGGACGGGAGGTCTTGGATTCGATCTCCACGAGCGGGAGTCGAGGATGCGCACTGATGATGAGTTCTATACTAGGACGAAACGGCAGTCAGGTGTCTAAAGGTTTGCAATAGGCAAAATTAGTAATAATAATGCACAATGTTCCAATGAAAATGTAACTAATTCAAGCGTAAAATAACATGAAAAAAAATCAACTTACTTGAGAAGAGATAATGATGAAGAATTTAACGATTTACACAATTTAATTCCGTAATTAAAATTTGCATAAGTTCGTACATGATTCGCAAAGTTACAACAGAGATTCATTAAAATACCTAAAATCAAATACAAGTGGCGTGAGGAATCTGAACAAAAGCAATTATATTGAGGATTTAATAGAGAGAGATATATAAAATAATATTTTTAGGTAATCAATTTGTATTTTATGTATATCATTGAAGGATTTTTTAAAATAAATTAGCTGATCTTTCTAATGTTCTGATAAATCAATTGACAGATATGTGAGAATTTACATAGTCAGCGCTGTAATCAATCGTTTAGTATAGACACTTACTGTGCTATATCGGTACTCAGTTCGATTCCCAGAGTCGATTATTGGTTTTTGATCATAGGTGTCTTCGAAGCATTGCTCGTATATCGTGGGACAACCGAGTGAGCAACGCTATTATTAGGAAACGGGTGCTAGGTAAGAATGGCAGATCAATAGATGAAGCAATGAAACTTCATCAGTTGAGGTGGTTCGGACAAGTGCTGCGTATGCCTAATGGCCGACTGCCTCGACGAGCTATGTTTTGTGGTGTAGGAATAGGTTGGAAGAAAGTTAGGGGCGGCCAAACCAAAACATGGCAGAAATCCATGAAGTCATTGACGAGTGGACTTAGCCATGTCGAAAATTGTCGACTACCTGGTTGGGGTCCGTGAGATGACAATAATCGATGGTTAGATACCTTGAATGACATGGCTCAAAACCGTTTGCAATGCCGCCGGTGCATTTATTCTTTGTGTTCTCTCAAATCCTAATCTTCTGGATTCTTCAACACCTCTAGTTTTGAATTTCTAAACTTTTCTCACTGAATCATACTTCTTGAATAATATCTTCTAATCCTAACCTCTCGGATTACTTCTAATACCTTTACTACCTCTTCTACTATTGGATTTGAATTGACAATTATATATCTGTGCTGATAAGGTATGGCAACATGAACTGATGTACTTACGTACGAAGTTCTACGTTGCATTTGACTAACTGATTCCCAGAGTGAATATCAACTATAGGATGTTGGCACATTCAGCTGATGAGTTCCAAACAGGATAAAAACACGCATTCTAGATTGTGATGCGTCGAATCATCAAACTAAAAAGTTAAACGTTCACAATAACTCAGTCATTGTTGATATAAATGATAATTACTATCTCAATCGATAGTAATAGATTGTTATAACTAAAGAACTTATTACAGTACATGTTTCAAAATGAATACTGTATAAACTCAACAATTACTGAACTAGTGGGAATAAAACTTTCCATAAAGAACATTAACAATGTTGGGTAGAGTTGTAGCAGACTGACGAACAAGCTAGAGCACTAGTCGTTTTTGGGTGGATCAGAGGACAGTAGAAATAAATAAGTAATTCGCTAAGGGAAGGATGTGTAAGATAGCTGATATTAGTTCTAAAGCAAAGCCTCAAACTTAACTCCCACACCTACCTAATAACTAGCATAAGGCTTTTTAAAACTGACCATTAAAAAATCTTATTCTAATCAGTTGTTATTCCGCTTTTGAATGTCTATGAAAAAATTTATAGGCAATAAACAGATGTAAAATGTCTTTCAATCATGGTAAGAATAAAACTGTAGAGAACGAGTTTCTAGACTTTTGGGTACAAAATAGTCACACAATAACAAAAAAATAGAAGGCCACACATATGTTGAACAGTCTAAATTAAACAGTGATTGTTTGTTGCACCAGGTAGACTGGTAGATTATCTGATAGACAGACAGACAGATGCAACGTAGAACTTAGTACGTAAGTACATCAGTTCATTTCGCCCGCTCTTAAAGGCCCTTAGTGGGCACCCTTACCCAAGGAGACGGAAATCCGTGAGGTAGGGTGAGGTGTGACATTTTTAGGATCGACCTTTTCTAACCCTTCTTTCCTTGTGAGAAGGCAGCATCGCTGCAGGTGCTGGTTGTCCGAGGGAAACACCTCACTGCTGTCATAACACCCCTCTGCAGTCAGCAGTACGACTTTAGTAGCTGCTTTTAGTCTCATCGTTCTCCAATCGACCTGTCTGGCATGGTAGGACCTGCAGGAACATATGTTCCAGACAGTATAGTTCGGTTGGGTCATCACGATAGGCAAGCCCGACCATCACGTCAAGGTAGCAGCTACGGTCGGGTGTATCATGTATATATTTTCTTGTTTAAGCTAGAACAGACCTGGACGGCTACTTCGTCCTAGTATGAGACTCTTCAACAGTACGCATTCATGGCCCTGCAAAATATCCTGGATTGATAAGAATCAGACAGTAACGCATATTTCTTAACGAGGAAAAAATCAAGAAGAGGCACAGGTTAGGACATATATTAAAGAAAGCACTCGACCGCATCAAAAGACACACCCACGCTTGGAATCCTCAAGGCCAAACAGAACACATTACGCCAAGAAATGGCGACATATGAGAAGGGAGAACAACAATCGGACAGAACTGGAAAAAAAGGCACCGGACAAGATAGGTTAGAGAATACTGGTCGGAGGCCTATATACTACATTGACGGCAAAAGTAGGTAAGTAAGAAATAGTGGCCTAGAGGCTAAGCGCGGTAGCGCAAGTGGTCAAAGATCCTAGTTCAGATCCCCACATGCGGCGGTCGTGAATGAGCACTGCCAAGGAAGTGTCAAGTCCTTCCGTATTTCTAATAATGATCTAAATAATATCAATTCGTGATTTCAACTATATAACAAAATAAAAAAACTGGTGTGTTTTTTCCCAGCATACATAATTCAAACAAATCTGTATCAAAAGACAAAAATACTTGACAAGGCAAAACATTTAAACTTCAGAATAAAAAACAAACATTTTATCCAAAACTCATATATTTTCATTTGATTGAATACTTTTTTTTACAAATAAAAATGCAATAATTCTGGATATAATATGATCATGTTTTTTCTGAAATCAAATAAAATAATAACCCCCCCCCCCCCCGCATTAAGAATTATTTTAATGAGATGACAATATTTACATGAAGGCGTGTACATTTTTCATAAACTGGACGGCGGCCTATACTCCAGTGGGGGTAACAGGCGTAAGTAAAGTAAATAAGTACATTTATCTCTCATAATTCTACAAATAGATCAATACATTCTGATACAATAATGATTAGGGAAAAATAAAAGAGGCGGAAAAGAAACTAATTAAATGGAGCTTTTGATCCACATTTTCTGTTTTATATTAAAAAAAATAAAGTATTGCTGATCAGATTTTTAAAAAAAAGGCAAAACAACATGTAAAACAATAGATAGTTCTTTTAAGAATTTTCTTCTTTTTTATTAGCTTGAAATGAATAGGTAATGATCGTATACATAGCCGTAGTGTGGTGTGTGCTACTTATACGAACGATATAAGTAGTATAAGAAGGGACGTGAAAGAAAAAAGAATACGCACGGTCAGAAGATGGAAAAAACGCAAAACAAATAGAGCAAAATGGAGCAAGAAGTAAATGGAATAGTACCAACAGGAAGGAAGGAAGGAATGAAAGGAAGCAACAAACAACAGGAATGGAAGAAGAAGAAGGATGGAGTGTTGGAAGTCACGACCCAAAGACGGTGTACAAATAGAGTACTGTTCAATGTAATGTTTTCGTTTTTTTTTCATTGACTAAGAGTGTAAGTTTGCATAAGACAATAATTCTGCGCCTGCCTCAGTCTTTTCAGTAGTACTAGTCGTAGTAGTAGTAGTAGTCGCAGTACTATAAGCCATATCTAATATTTGTGGTAGAATTTTTGTACGTATAGTTATTTTATCAACACTTTGTAATGTGATAGTATGAAATAGACCAGATTTTTTAGCATTCTCTATGAGTTGACAACGATTTTTCCGATATAATGGATCATAATGATGTCGTAGTAGACCAGTAATAAAACTAGTGAAATCTTCACGTTCAATCATATCAATCCATTGATTAATAAGTTTATTTGGAAAATATTTGTTTAAACTATTTGATAATAATAATAATAATAGAAAAAGAATAACAATGAATAAGTTAGGATGATAATGATGATGAGATAAAAAATTTATCAAAAATCTTAAAATGTACTCACTAGTGTGACTAGCTCTTTGTGAGGTAAAATTCTCCAAAGTCTAGTGAGAAAAACTGACCAGTGGAGGAGTTCAACCCTGACGGATGTAAGCATTAACTACGAAATACATAGTCAGTCAGTCAGTCAGTTGCAACGTAGAACTTCGTACGTATGTACATAAGTTCAGGTTGCCATACCACATTATTGGCACAGAGAAGCAAATGTCAATTCAAACACCATAGTGGTAGAGATAGTGTAAGTACTAGCGGTTATCGAGAAGATTACGGCTCGAACATAATATTCAGGAAGTATAATCTAGTGAAATAAACTTGGGAAGAAAAAGATGGAGGTGATGAGAAATTCAGAAGATTACAATTTGAGAGAATGCTTAAAGAATGTATGCACTTGCACCATTCCAAAAGATTTTGAGCCATGTTGTTCAAGGTCTCTAATCATCGATTACTATCATCTCGTGGACCCCAACCAGGTAGTCTACATTAACCAATATGACTTACTGCACTTTTCAGTGACTTCATGGATTTATGCCATGTTTTGGTCTGCCCGCCCCTAACTTTCTTCCAATCTACTCCTACACTGCAAAATATAGCTCGTCGGGGCAGTCGGAGGTTAGCCATACGTAACACATGTCCCAACCACCTCAACTGATAAAGTTTCACTACTTCATCTATTGATCTGCCATCCTTACCTAATACTCGTTTCCTAACGACAGCATTGCTTACTCGGCTGTCCCACGATATACGAGCAATGCTTCTTAAACATCTATGATCGAATACTAGTAACCTACATATGGGTGAGGTCACGTAAAATCTGTAGATTATTCAGAGTTAGACATTAATACCGTTGGATGCCGCCGGCTTAGTGGTTCAGAAGTGAAGCGTTTGCGAGCAAGACCAAAGGTCGTGGGTTCGAATTCTGAGAGGTGCAGGAGACGTGGATGCGCACTGCTGACGAGTGACATACCAGGATGAAACAGGTTTCTAATGCTGGTCTAACAATGATTGTTTGATGATTTCAATGTACAACAAACACTAATCTCCATAAATCCAATTGAAAAAAAGATAGAATCACATGTGCACTTAAGATAGAAAAGTTGACAGTGTATGAAAAGAAAATGATGACTATATTACAATCTTTGCTGATTTGAAGTGTCATAAGACCATTTTGTATTTGAAAAATAAATTGGGCAAGCCTGTTGTACAGGTGCACATCAACTATACAATTCCTAGTGTCAGTCAGCAACAACGTAGAACTTTGTGTGTACGTACGTACATCAGTTCAAGTTGCTATACCACATCAGCGCGCAGAGACGCAATAATCAATTCAAATCCTATAATAGTACACGTATAAGAAGTATCAGGAGATAATGGAGAACATTAGGGTTCGAATATATGATTTATGAGTCAGTCAATCAGTTACAACGTAAAACTACATACGTAAGTACATGAATTCAGGTCGCCATACCACATTAGCGCAAAGACGTAATTGTCAATCCAAACCCCATAGTGGTACTGATAGTAGAAGTATTAGAAACTATCGAGAAGATTAAGGTTCGAACATATTATTCAAGAAGTATAAATCAGTGACATAAATTTAGGAAGAGAAGGTTACAATTTGAGAGAACACAAAGAATGTCATTGACATGCTGATAGATATAAAATTTTCTTCGTCTGAATTTTCAGGAGTAGATCTTCTACCAGGAGGCTCGCTTATTGACTTAGAATATGCCGATGACATGATCCTACTTGGTGAAGACGCTGACAAAATGCAGAGTCTTCTGACCACCCTAAGCAACAATGCAAGCATGTTCGGGATGCGGTTTTCCCCCTCGAAATGCAAAATGTTGCCTCAAAATTGGGTTGCATCGGCAACTGAACTAGTGATAGGAAGTGAAGTAGTCGAACGTGTTGACCGCTTCACTTATCTAGGGGAGTTTCATCAGTACTGATGGCCTGGTGACTGACGAAATTTCAGCACGGATACAGAAGGCTCGATTGGCCTTTGCCAACTTGCGTCACTTATGGAGTAGACGAGATATCCGTTTGCTGACTAAAGGACGTGTGTACTGTGCAGTAGTTCGCTCCGTCCTACTTTATGGCTTTGAAACATGGCCATTGAGAGTAGAAGATATTTGTAGGTTACTGGATTTCGATCATAGGTGTCTCTGAAGCATTGCTCGTGTATCATGGGACAACCGTATCAGCAATCCTGCCGTTATGAAACGAGTATTAGGTAGGGAAGGCAAATCAATGGATGAAAGTTCATCAGTTCAGGTGGTTGGGACATGTGTTACGTATGCTATGTTTTGTGATGTAGGAAAAGGTTGGACGAAGGCTAGGGGCGGCCAAGCCAAAACGTGGCAGAAATCCATGAAGTCACTGATAAGTGGACTGAGTCATGTCGGCAGGTGTCGACTAACTGGTTGTGGTCCGCGAGACGAAAGTCACAGATGGTTAAAGACCCTGAATGACATGGCTCAAAATCGTTTGAAATGGCGCAGGTGCATTCATTCTCTGTGTTCTCTCAAATCGCGAACTTTTTAATTCTTCATCACTTTATCTTTATCTTCTTAAGTTTATTTCACTAGATTCTACTTCTTGAATAATATCTTTTAATTCTAACCTCTCCTACTACTATTAATACCTTCACTACCTCTGTAGTGAACGAGAACACAGGTGGGGCAACCGAATTGTATTTAACGGAAATTACACAGTTACTCAGTAAAATCGGAAAACCAAATCGAACTGGACTGTTCCTGTTGCCAAACATCAATCCATTGTCACTACTATTCATGCGTTTCATACAAATTCCATTGTTTTCCAACTCTTCCTTTCTTGACCTTCCCCGATCTTCGGCTGCCAGACATTACGTTGACGCTCACACCATATACTACTTATAAGTAGCTCACACCACACCTCTACTACTATTGGATTTGAATTCACAATTACATCTCTGTGCTAATAATGTGGTATGGCAACATGACCTGATGTACGTTCATTGGTACGAAGTTCTACGTCGCTATTGATTGAATAATTGTACACCATTAAAAACGTAACTACCCTTCCGCATAAATAATCACCTTTTTGAATGGATACTTGTGGTTGTAGTCCAATTAAAAAAAAACCTCTGAATTCATCTTTACCATACAACACACAATCAATACTTACTCACCTTTTAACAATACTCAGGATTTGTGGAATATTCTTTGTGACATTTGCATAATTTTCTAAAATCCATGCAACTCTTGCTTCTTCCGTAATATCAATCCATAAACGATGTGTTCCAATCATTGGATCAGTAGATCTTAATCGTGACCATAGACCATCGGATATACCACAATACGGTCCGATATGACGTGATTCACATTCAATCCATAAAACATTTTTACTTTTATTGGCTAATAAACGATGCTGATTAGTCATCATTGTATGATGTAGACGAGATTCGAAAATTTTTTGTGAAATCCCTTTGTATGTGGTGATAGAAGGGCTTTGATAATCACCGGTATCGTTACTGCTACTACTACTACTACTAATACTAGTAGTAGTGTTAGTAGTGTCTGATAATTGACTGCCACCAAACATGGAACCTTTATGTTCAGCTAAAGATTCCAAATCTAATACAATCTCACCGTATTCATGTAATTCTTGAAGTATCAATGATTTACCAGATCCTGGTTGTTTTTTTGAAATATGGGGAACAAAATTAAACATTTTTATAGTTACTTGGGATAAAAAAAATCTTAAGCAGAATAATGTGATTTTTTTAAAAATGTTGTTAGTTTCTTGTGAAATTACACTCTGGACTTCGCTAGGATAATTATAGATCTTAAACTAGGGTAAAGAAGGAGGGTTAGGCTTAGTAGAGTTAGCAGTCCTATTCCGTATAAAGTACTTACTTACTTACGCCTCTCACCCCCAATGGAGCATAGGCCGCCAACCAGCACCATTCTCCAACCAACTCTGTCCTGGGCTTCCCTCTCCAGTTCTGTCCAATGTTTGTTCATTCCTCTCATATCTTTCTCTATTTCTCGGCGTAGTGTGTTCCTTGGCCTTCCTCTTTTCCTTTTGCCTTGAGGATTCCATGTGAGGGCTTGTCTCGTGACGCAGTTGGGTGCTTTTCGTAGTGTATGTCCTATCCACTTCCACCGCTTCTTCCTGATTTCCTCCTCCACTGGAATCTGACTTGTTCTCTCCCACAGTTCGTTGTTGTTGATGGTGTCTGGCCAACGAATACGAAGTATTTTGCGTAGACAGCTGTTCCTAGGATTATTACTGGTCTCAAAATAGGGTAAAGAAGGAGGGTTAGGCTTAGTAGACTTAGCAGTCCTATTCCGTATAAAGTATCTTGCACAAAAAATTCACTTTAGCCAGTTACATTCCGTCATAATACCTTATGATAAGTCGTAATTCTTCGAAAGTCACAAGGATAATGCCACATACTAACAACCAGAGCAATAACTAATAAAAGATACATGGAATGTCCACACTATATGTGAGAGATTGTGGATGAAGTTTGTCCGAATAGCAAAAGAAATGAGAAGATTAAAAAGCTAGTTGTACTTGGAATGAGTAAAACTTATTAGACATCAGCTGAAAAGAAAAGACAAGATTTGGAAGCGATGTTGTTGTATTCAGCTCATGAAGAAAATAACACCTTATAAACAATGAGTAGCGCTACCCAATCGATATAGTTAAGTTGAAATGTACTCGCAAACACATGTCCACAGTTATAGCCCATCAAAATCAAACGTAGATAGATGAAGTATTGAAACTTCATCAGTTGAGGTGGATGGTACATGTTTGACAAATGCCTAATCGCCGACTACCTCATCGGACTAGGTTTTTCGATGTAGGAATAGGTTGGAGGCGGCCAAACCAAAACATGGCACAAATTAAAGAAGACACTAACAAGTGCTGGTAGGTGTCGACTACCTGGTTGGGGCCTGTGAGATGATAATAATCGATGGTTAGAGACCTTGAATGACATGGCTCAAAACAGTTTGCAATGGCGCAGGTGTTCATTCATTCTTTGTGTTCTCTCAAATCCTACACTTCTGAATTCTTCATAACTTTGTCTTTTTAAATCTGTTTCACTAGATTCTACTTTTTGAATAATATCTTCAAAGCCTTATCTTCTCCATTACCAGTAATACTTCTACTACTTTTTACCACTATATGATTTGAATTAACAATTGGGTCTCTGTGCTAATGTGGTATGATAACATGAACTGATGTATGTACGTACGAAGTTCAACGTCATAACTGACTGACTGACTGACTGAAAATCAACATGAATTCTGGGACAAATGCATAGGTATCTGAAGTGACACATATATTCACTATTCTTTGTATGAATATAAAACTTCTGTTGTTAATTGTTCAATAATCTTATGTAATTTTATTTAAACATAGTACAAATAGGGCACCTAAATATTTTAATGTCACACGAACTATCAGATTTTTGAATGGGCTAGGATACTGACCGGACAACCGAACCGAAGCAGATGGTATTTTAAAAGGTCACACCATGAACCTTTGGCCCAAAAGTCTGATCTATAAGATAGTGGAGCAACGTTAGCGGATGCAGTCCCATGGTAACCAGTGACCAAGAGTAGATTAATATATCATCGGTTCCGTCAAGATCCAGTAGTTCAAAGGTTTGTCAATGGTTTGTAATCAGGGTTTTCTAACCTTCCTAGGTGGATCCTCTGTTTCTACCAACCAGATTTATGTACCAGACATTTGCTTTTCGACCACTTCGTGTCGTGAATAACGCCTTCGCCACGAGAAGACAGTAAATCTGGTAAAAATTGACAAATAATTTGTAGTAAATTGGTAGTTAATGAGTAAGCATTTGTTAGGAGGCCCGAAATATCCCTCACAAAGGTCTACAGGGGCATAGAAACTCCGTGAAACGTTTTACCCAATTCGTGTTTGGATAGAACATATAGGAAATGCAGAATCATGTGCCACGATTCTGACCTGATATTCAGCCATACCGATATTATATTTTGCAAGGTTGTCGAACCTTCCAGTAGCCCATAGTCTTTAATAACTGTAAATACCCTGATTATTCTGTACATAAACTAACGTTAGAGCAAAGCGTTCTACTCGAACTTCGCACCTTTTCTCTTGTGTTCGAGTTGCAGTGTCGATTCAGTTTGGGTTTCTTAGAGGCGGATAGAAATTTAGATTTTGCGTATATCTAGCAAACTTCGGGTTTAAAGGCATAAAACAGAATACTGTAACAAAATACAGATTTGCTTGTATGGCTATAAGTCGTACTACTATTTAGAAAAAACAGCTGATGAGGATACATGACCGCTTACAGCAAAATAGTGACAGAAGTGTTGAAATCGAAAAATTCACTGTTGGTAGTACGGGGGGGAGTATTAAATCATTTGAACCAAGGATCAATAAATTAATTGGATTCTTTAATTGGACAATAATACACATTCCTGAAACTTTTGGGTAAGAGGAACACTCATTTAAATGTTAAAAATAGTATCGTTCTAAAATAGGGGACAAACGTACAAGCAATGCTCTCGTTAAGAAACAAGTTCTAGGTAGGGATGGCAAATAAATAGATGAACTAGTGAAACTTCATCAGTTGAGGTGGTTGGGATATGTGTTACGTATGCCTAACCACCGACTGCCTCGTTGAGCTATATTTTGCGGTGTAGGAATAGGTTGGACGAAAGCTGGGGGCGGCCAGACCAAAATATCGCACAAATCCATGAAGTCACTGACAAGTGGACTGAGTCATGTCAGTAGGTGTCCACTACCTGGTTGGTGTCCGCAAGACGATAGTCACCAATGGTTAAAGACCTTGAACGACATGGCGCAGAATCGTTTGCAGTGGCGCAGGTGCATTTACGCTTTGTGTTCTCTCTAATTCTAATCTTCGGAATTCCTTATAATCTCTACCTTTCTCCTTCTAAATTTTTCTTACTGAATTATACTTCTCGAATCATATCTTCGCTCCCTAATCTTCCTCATTGCTGTTAATACTTCTACCATCACTATCACTCTTGGATTTGAACTGACAGTTGCGTCTCTGTGCTGATGTGGTATGGCAGCAGTTTGTTGCTGACAGTGTCTGGCTAACGAATCCAAAGTATTTTGCGTAGATAACAGTTAACGAACACTTGTCTCTTGTGAATGATGGCTTTTGTGGTTTTCCAAGTTTCAGCCCTACAAAGCAGAACTGTCTTGACATTTCTATGAAACTTGTGACTTTGGTGTTGGTCGATAGTTGTTTTGAGTTCAAAATTTTCTTCAATGGTAAAAATGTTGCCACTTTTTTATCGATCCAGTCCTTCTAATTTGGAAAAATTTACTAGACTAACCAAAACTACATTTATTTTTTACTACATAGAATGTTTAACATATTAGTCTACGATAGAAGAGATTATCATTATTACATCATATTCTAAAACAAAACGGCCGCCTAGTTCTTGCAGGTTTCTAATGGTGGTCTAACATTGATCGATTGTTTTCGATCATAGGTGTCTTAGAAGCATTGCTCGTATATCCTGGGACAACCGAGTGAGCAATGCTGGTGTTAGGAAACGGGTGCCAGGTAAGGATGGCAGATCAATAGATGAAGTAGTGAAACTTCATCAGTTGAGGTGGTTGGGACATGTGTTACGTATGCCTAACCACCGACTGCCTCGTCGAGCTATATTTTGCGGTGTAGGAATAGGTTGGACGAAAGCTGGGGGCAGCCAAATCAAAACATGGCACTAATCCATGAAGTCACTGACAAGTGGTCTGAGTCATGTCAGTAGGTGTCAACTACCTGGTTGGGGTCGGCGAGATGTTAGTAATCGATGGTTAGAGACCTTGAATGACATGGCTCAGATGCATCCACTCTTTGTGTTCTCTAATTCTAACCTTCGGAATTTCTCATAATCTCTATCTTTCTCTTTCTAAATTTATCTTACTGAATCATACTTCTTGAATTATATCTTCGCTCCCCAATCTTCTCCATTACTGCTATTAATTCTCCCATCACTATCACTCTTGGATTTGAACTGACAGTTGCGTGTGTGTGCTGATGTGGTATGGCAACCTGAACTGATGTACATACGTACGTACGAAATTCTGCGTTGTATCTGTCTGTCTTCTCTCTTCTAAAATAGATCATCAGAAACACACACATCAAATCGATTCATTTGTATGAAATAACATCAACACAATGTCAAGCACTTACCAGTCAAACCAGATATAACCCAAAATGGATTAGGTATTGACCAACGAGGCCATGCATCTAATTGTCGAAGTAGAAGTCGACGCCAAGAACGATATCCACCAACAAGTGTATAAATATTAGCAGGCCAACCAGTTTCAGAGAGTATAGTTGCTAGAGACGATGATCTTTGACCACCACGCCAACAATAAATTAAAAAATCTGGATATTTTAAAGTTTTTTTATTTTTAATCATGCGGTGTTGTTGATTTACCGGTAGTGAATTGTTCAGCTGTGGAGTATATTGAGAAGCAAGTTGTTTTAGACAATTACTAATATTGGCACAAACCATAGATGCGCCGTAAAGACGAGCTTGAACATGATCACCTGGGTGTAACAGAAAAACAATAATTTCATTCATAAGTAAATGACAGTTTAGAGGTTTAGAGGGGTAAGTAATATGAGGTCCATAATCCGGATGGAACGAATGGTATATCAAACTACTACGGGCCACTAGATGTCATAGTGTGGTGTGGGCTACTCATAAGTAGTATATGACGTGTCAACGTAGTGTATGACAGCAGAAGATGGGGGAAGGTCAAGAAAGGAAGAGTTAGAATACAATGGAATTTGTATGAAACACATGAATAGTAGTGACAATGGATTGATGTTTTGCAACAGGAACAGTCCAGTTCGATATGATGAACTGATATTTTGCAAATTAACAATTTACGATATGGTTTTCCGATTTTACTGAGTAACTCTGCCCCACCTGTGTTCTCGATCATTACAATAGGACTGCATCTTCTAATGTTCCTCTCTTGCTCTCTCTAGATCAAACGCTCATGGAGAGGCTCTCTCAGAAAATTATTTACTCCAATTTGACAAACCGGTTAAAAATATCACAGTCCAATCACAAATTTAATAATTTGTGTGACGCACAAATATTCAGGTGTCTCTTTGTAAAAATGTTTATGTGTTTTTATGAATAATTAAGCATCTAACATACAGAGCGTTAATCTCATGCAAAAATTCCCAATGACAAACGATTAATTCAGAATACGTTCGCAATTATTAAAAATAAATCAGTAAATATATATACTTATTTCCCACGATACAGTTATAGAGATTGTCATTTATTGGTCAAATAAATCGTAAATGAATCATTGTTAGACCACCATTAGAAACCTGGAAGCATTGGACGGTCGTTTGGTCCTGGTATAGGACTCATCAGTAGTGCGCATCCATGATTTCTGCCACTAGCAGGATTCGAACCCAAGACATTCAGTACTGCGTGCGAACGCCTAGCTTACAGACCACTGGACTGGCATTCAAGAGTGTTAATATTTAACTCTGATCAATGACAGTGGCTCTCGCGAATTTTGCAAGACAACCACCAGTGTGGATTAAATCGGCCACCCCTGCAAACTAAATTAGTATATGGACTGTTAGTAATACTTGCCGAAGTAATGACAAGCTATCCACAATGTTCATAGTGAATCTCTGGTCCCATAGGAAACCTTCAGCTCTATATAGCGGTATAGCTTATGGTACAAGAGATACAGCCCAGCCTGATGTAAATGAGCTCAAAAAATCTCATTACCCTTTATCTCATGTCGGGTAATGATTTGTTTACAATAGAGAAATTTTCATTGTTACGACCAGATGACAGCTGAGTTGGGAGTTAGTCGGTCAGTCACGACGTGGAACTTCGTACCAAAGAACATCAGTTCATGTTGCCATACCACATTGACACAAAGATGCAATTGTCACTTGAAATCCCATAGTAGTAGAGGTAGTAAGAATATTCATTGGCAGTAATAGAGAAGATTAGGGTTTGAAGATATTATTCACGTAGAATCTAGTGAAATAAAATTAAAAAGAGAAAGATAAAGGTCGATGAAGAACCCAGAGGATTAGGATCTGATAGAAGTCAAAGAATGGATGCACCTGAGCAACTACAAACGGTTTTGAGCCATGTCATTCAAGGTCTCTAATCATCGATTACTATCATCTCGCGGACCCCATCCTGGTTAGTCTACACTTACCAACATGACTCAATCCATTTGTCACAGTCAGGGGTAGTATCCCTGAATCAGGGAATTCAACAGAATGAATAGTAAATACTCAAATTATTTTCAGTTAGAGCTTTGGAGATTTGTGTTTTTTACACATTTAGAATCATCAATAAATCACTGTTAGACCACCATTAGAAACCTGGAAGCACTGGACGTTAGGCGTTCGAGCACAAAACCGAAGGTCTCGAGTTAGAATCCTGCGAGGTGCAGGAGTCGTGGATACGCACTGCCACTGATGAGTCCTATACCAGGACGAAACGGCCGTCCAGTGCTTCCAGGTTTTTAATGGTGGTCTAACAACGATTGATTGATGATTTCAAATGTGTGAAAAACACAAATCTCCAAAGCTCTAACTGAGGATATAGTAACAGTACTCACTAGTGACTAGCTTCGTGAGGAAATTCTCGGAGTTCTGGTGAGAGAAGACGTGACCAATGGAGTTCAACCCTGTCAAGTGTAGGCAGTAACTACCAAAGACAAATGGGTGAGGTCACGCAAAATCCCTAGATCAATCAGAGTTAGACATTAACACCGTTGGATGCCGGCCCAGTGGTCCGATGGTTAGGCGTTCGCGCACAATACCGAAGGTCCCGGGTTCGAATCCTGTGAGGTGCAGGAGTCGTGGATGCGCACTGCCACTGATGAGTCCCATACCAGGACAAAACGGCCGTCTTTCAGTGCTTCCAGGTTTCTAATGGTGGTCTAACAATGACTGATTGATGATTCTAAATGTGTAAAAAACTCAAATTATTGACATTTCTATCATAAACAACTAATTTAACAACAACATTAACAATAACAACTGTTTACCTTCATTAAATAAACGGCCAACAATTGCTCGCTCTTTATCATCTAAAACCGGTATATTTATTGCACCATAAATATGATCTTCATTAAATTCACCAGGACTACGTACATCAATAATAATTGGTTTTGATATGGAATTCGAAAATACACTTGACCATGTATAACAACGCTCATCAGATGGACCAGATTCCGGTGGAGGCGGTATGGTGGAATTCCATGCATCCTGTGTAGCATATGGTTCAGAAATTAAAGTGACTAATTTAATAGATTTCGGCTTTAGTTTGTTAGTAGTCAGTGTTGAAGTGAAAAACCATTTTGATGATTGATTGATAGTGATTATCGGTGAGGGTGATCGATAACCGAACAATGAACATACATGCAAACAGCAAGATAAACGATTCAAGTGAAGTATCTGGAATTTCAAATAAAAATTAGAAAAGAAACTATTGTTATCATCTAAAATTTCAATTGTAAATCAAAAAACAACAAAATTATCCACTGGCGGTTTGTTATTTATATACATGTATGCTACTGGACAATAATTTGACCTTCATATTCCAATCTGGAATTACTATTTCTGATTATATTGAGGAACGTGATCATTTGTGAACGGATTCTCAGTCTTTGATGACAGGTGACCAATAATCACCGTATAACACATTCAATGTTGATTTAGCCGGAAGAAGCGCTAGAAGTGGATAGGACACAGATTGAGGAGAAAGCACCCATTTCCGTCATAAGACAAGCCTTCGCCTGGAATCCTGAAGATCAAAGGAAAAGAAGAAGGCCACAGAATACATGACACTCAGAAATGAAAACAGATATGAGAAGAATGAACGACAGTTGAACAGAACTTGAAAGAAAGGTCCAGTGTAATGAAGAAGAAAACAGGTGAGGGCAACCGAATTGTATTTAACGCAAATTACAGAGTTAATTGGTAAAATAGGAAAACCATATCGTATACCGTTAATTTGCAAATCTTCAATCCATTGTCTGACATTTCACTGTTCATGCGTTTCATACAAATTCCGTTGTGTTTCCACTCTTCCTTTCTTGATCTTACCCCATCTTCTGCTGCCAGACATCACGTTGACGCTCACGCCATATACTACTTATAAGTAGCTCACACCACACTCGTCCCCCCTTTTAATAAGCTGTCGTCGTAGTCTTTCTGATCGCCGTACCGCTGTCTTCTTTGGTGCTTTCCGTGACTCACACTCTTGATAATCTTGAAACCACCTCTGCAGTTGACTGGCATTTACACACTTCTGCTTATCTTCTCTCCGGATCGTGTACACCGCGCCGCGTCACTCCGTGATAACGTACGGTCCGTCCCACTTTGGGATCAGCTATCCCCACCCTGATCTCCCTGCTATGCTACTTTTTTGTTCTCTACACTTTACTAGGTCCCCAACTGCAAAAGGTTTCCACGTTCTCCTCTGTTGTTCCGCCTTCTTTATGTCTGATATTTGTTCCTTTCCCACACTCCAGATTGCCTCCCTCCTCTCTTTTCTTAACCTTGTTGTTGTCCATTTCTGTTGTTGTGGCCAGGTACACCACACCAGGACAGAGTAGGTGGGAGAATGTTTATCGGCGGTATATGCTCCATCAGAGGGTAACAGGCGTAAGTAATTTAGTTTGGCCACATCGATTAGTAGACTATCATTTCAATTAGAACCAACAATAGTTTGTTATACCAACTATTGGGATTGGAAGTCTGCAACAAATATTCATTTGGAGGAGCTGAAGGAAATAAAATCATAATTGTCAATTCTCAATTGATTTCCAATTGGGAAATTGAAGATTTGAGCTACACTCCATCTATTGAAAAGTACCATTAACCCTCAAAGAAACCATGTAGATTGAGGTTCAGTAAATATATCCATATGCAGTCCATGGATTACACTATCAGAGCTAACAGACAATTAAACAATCGGACTAAAAATCGATACTATGTTACGTAAGCACTGTTTCCGTTTTATTTTTTTGATAACTAGTTCATACTGTACAAAAAAACATTTGAATATCTTACAAGTGTATAACATGCACAAACCACAGAAGAGCGGTTTCAAAATAATAAATATTGAAGGGTTTCAGATTTCAGTAGTTAGTGACAATGATGTTATGAGGAAAGTCAATGATGAACGGTCTTCAGAAGGAAGCCAGATGAAACAAGAGCGCATTGAGAACCTATACATGTACACACACACACACATTGAAAAATCATTTATAGGGTAGAACTATTACAAACAAAATAACTTTCTTTTTTTGGGGCACAGTTTTGGAGGTTTGCGTTTTTACACATTTGAAATCATCTATCAATCATTGTTAGACCAACTGCGAGGAGCAGGAGTCGTGGATGCGCACTGCCACTGATGAGTCCCATACCAGGACAAAACGGCCGTCTTTCAGTGCTTCCAGGTTTCTAATGGTGTGGTCTAACAATGATTGATTGATGATTTCAAATGTGTAAAAACACAAACCTCCAAAACTCTGCCCCAAAATATCGTAACAGTGCTCACTAGTGACTATCTTCGTGAGGAAATTCTCGTAGTTCTAGTTGAGAAGACGGGACCAGTGGAGGAGTTCAACCCTGTTGGGTGTAGGCAGTAACTACCAAAGACAAATGAGTGAGGTCGCGCAAAATCCCTAGATCAATCAGAGTTAGACATTAACACCGTTGGATGCCGGTCCAGTGGTCCGATGGTAAGGCGTTCGCCTACAATGCCGAAGGTTCCGGGTCCGAATCCAGCGAGGTGCAGGAGTCGTGGATGCGCACTGCCACTGATGAGTCCCATGCCAGGACGAAACGGCCGTCTTTCAGTGCTTCCAGGTTTCTAATGGTGTGGTCTAACAATGATTGATTGATGATTTCAAATGTGTAAAATAATTTTCACAATACAATGTTCAACGTTTGGTCTTCACAATGATCAAAAATACCCATAATGCGAATGTTTAAAAATGTTGAAATAGATTTGTTTTAAAAGAGTATTCAACACTTTTAAGTTCAATCAATGGATGAGATGAAATTTTGGAAAACTATATCACAAATAATAGTAATAATAATAACATAATAAATTAAACATTCAAAATATACATCGTCAATGCATATTTCAATTTTTGAAACCAATTAATTTTTTAAAGTTAAGAAAACAAGAGTTATATATAAAAGTGAATAAGTGCTCTAGTACATTTTTCTACTAAATTAGAAATAGTTGAAGAGAATTAAACTAAACCAAATGAACACTTAAACAAAAGTGTACATTACACAAATCAGACAAAATGAACAGTCAACTACAATGTAGAACTTCGTACGTACGTACATCACAGTTCACACTGACATATCATATTAGTACAGATATATAGAATTGTCAATCCAAATACCACAGTAGTGTAGAATTATTAGAGGTAATATACGAAGGATTAGTCGTGAAGAAAAGAGGTGAAGAAAGGATTTGATTATGACCAAGATGATCTTGTATTCTCTTACAGATATGTATGTCAATACACAACTGCCCATACTGTGAAAGGATGAACTGCTAGCCTTCTAGTGAACTTGTTTTTACATTCAAGTTTCATTATATTTAGAAAGAGAAAGTCAATGGTTAAGCGAACTTCAAGTATTTGAAATCAACCATTGTTGATGAGGTCGTGGATGTTTGTTGACGACATAAGTCTCAAATACAGAAAAAATCTAGCTTCCCGGTGTTTCCTAGCAGCTGTCTTGTTACTTTAGCCAGCTCGGTGACGTCCATTGGTTGTGCCGCGTTCACCAGTCTCAACTGTTGGGCAACCTCTGCAGGCACACTTTCAATGAATTGCGACGCTAGCAGCTGTGCTTGCAACTCCTCATCCAAATTTGGCAGACCCCGGCACAGCAATCTTGTCAACTCTACAGCCAGCACGAGTGGGTCGCCATCCACCGTCAGTTTCGCCTCTCCGAACTTCTGCAGCGCGTCCTGCCTATCCGCCGGGCTGTCGAAGTCCACCAGCAGCCTTTCCGTCACCACCTCCCAGTCAGCGTCCTCCACACCATCGTACACCGCTCTCGCCCTGCCTCTTAGTAGAGTCCACAACACCACCGCCTTCGCCCTCTGCTCCTTGACTCCGACCAGCTCCGCCACGGCCTCGAACTCCCTCAAGAAGCTCCTTACATCTCCGTCTTCAAACTCCCGAGGCCATGGGATCTTCATCCTGTGTAGAGGCAGCGACATCAATTGAGAAGACTGAGGCAGGCGCGGAAGATTGTATTATGCAAACTTACACTCTGAGTCAACTAAAAACGAAAACAGTACATTGAACACTCTATTTGCAAACCATCTTTGAGTCGCTCCATCCTTCTTCCATTCCTGTTGTTGCTTCCTTTCCTGCCTGTTGATACTCCATTTACTTCTTGCTTTTGCTCCATTTGCTTTCCGTTTTCCTCTTCTGACCGTGCGAATTCTTCTTTCACGTCCCTTCTTATACTACTACTTATTTCGTTCGTATAAGTAGCATACACCACACTAGTAGAGAATAATCCATAATGAAAAATATTTCCACAACTAGACAATTAAACAGTCCTACTTGAGAATTATTTTATGTATAGTGTTCAAGATGTTCACTTCAACCTCACAATGCGTCGTCCACTTAGCAGCTACTAAGTCGAGATAGCCACTGACTTATGCAAGCAACATGGCGGAGTTCAATTTATTGCCTAAGTCAATGGTTATCTGGACTAAAGTAATTAGGTGGACAGTGCGATGGCGTTTGAAGTGAACGGTACTGTGTTCGAGTTTCGGAGTGAATATCAACTTTAGTATGCAGCTACACGTAGTTGATGAGTTCCATATAGAACGAAACGTGCATCCTGAATTGCACTGCTGACAATGCCTGTGATCTATCAGTAATATCGAGGCAATCTGCACAAGACATACGTACGACGGATGAGAAAGAGAGAGAGTACAATTGCAGTCTTAAATATCAACGGTGGGATTGAAACAACCAATAAAAATGAACTAACCGTTGGTGTGCTACAATCAAAATGCACTAAGGATAGAAGTACTTTGCGAAACATAATAAAATAACTACCTCAACTGCATTTAATTAGAATGTCTAGTAAATTAATGTACAGCGAAATAAATAGATTCAACAGTGATCTATCAAATATGCACAAGTAAAGACTGATATATAGGAGAGAAGGAAAATTGTCAGCCAGTCAGTCAGATGCAACGTAGAACTTTGTACGTAAGTACATCAGTTCATGTTGCCATACCATATTATTAGCATGGAGATATAATTGTCAATTCAAATCCAATAGTAGTAGAGGTGGTAAAGGTATTAGAAGTAATCGGAGAGGTTAGGATTAGAAGATATTATTATTCAAGAAGTATGATTCAGCGAGAAAAGTTTAGAAAGTCAAAACTAGAGTTGTTCAAAGAATCCAGAAGATTAGGATTTGAGAGAACACAAAGAATAAATGCACTGGCGCCATTGCAAACGATTTTGAGCCATGTCATTCAGGGTCTCTAACCATCGATTATGGTCATCTCGCGGACCCCAACCTCGTAGTCGACAACTACCGACATGGCTCAATTACCTAGACGAATAGGTAGAGAGCCTGACAGGTAACTGAATTGACATATTCTCTACTCTTTACATCAATTTAAATTTTCTGTTGTTGTCTAATTTTTAGTTTATTTAAACACATAAATATTGGTACAAATGAGGTACTCAAATATTTAAAACGCCACAAAAACTATTCAATCTGTGAAAGGAACGGGATACTGACCGGGTAGTCAAATCGAAGCAGATACGTATTTGAGGGGGCCACACAACGAGTTTATAACCCAACAGTCCAATTCACATGACAGTGGTGGAGCAACATACGAAAAAGCAGTTTTATGATAACCGATAAACAACTGTAGTTCTGATTATTATTCGTTCCGTCATGATACGAGAGCCCGTCTGTGCCATTGGTTTGCAATCAGGGTTTTCTAACTCTTTTAGATCTATTCTCCATACCCACCAACCCAGGTTATGTGCCAGATATTCACTTTCCATCTTCTAAATTTCGTAAATAACCCATATACCACGAGGTGGTGGTAGTGAGTAGGACTTTTATGAAAGTATCTATATATACACACACACACACACCCATAGCCCCACATATAAGAGCATTTCGATAGCTAGGAGCAGGCGGAGACTTACCCCACACACACTTTTCAGTTGTACCGAGGCATCAGAAGAGCTAAAATAATGTTACACATTGTGGTCAAGCTAGACTTGATTTGTATTGAATTCGAATCGAATAGTACTGACTGGCTGGCGGCGGGTGTGAGAGGGGGCGGAGGTAGACGTAAACAAATACAACAAAGAGAGAAAGCAACAGCATTGATATAACACAAACTAAAATGACTTTCAAACATGATCATGAATCAATAGAATAAAAATGAAATAACGATTGAAAAGGAAAAATGAGAGAGAAAATTATACAACGTTGTTGGTTTATGTATATATTTATAGATATCGTCGATATATATATATATATATATATATATATATATATATATTTACTATCATAAATCAAAATAATTATACAAAACTACACATTTCACAACATCATCGTCATAATAATCATAATAATAATAATGTTGTTCATTGATCAATAGTCAAATATACTGTTTTGTTTTAATGATGTTTAGATTGTTGTCTGTTGTTGTTGTTGTTGTTGGCAACAGCCATAAAAAGCAACAACAAACAGTTAGTTAGGAAAGTTGTGAATTATTATTCATACATAGTAGTAAGTAAGTAAGTAATTGAATCATTGTCATTGGGATTTGTCATTGAAATGTAATTTGAAAGAAAGTGTTCTGGGCGTTGTGACATCACTCACATAAATGATTTGTTCGTTGGTAAGACCAAGTTCTATTTAATGAAAAAGGAAATTATAAACAAATAACTTATGAACAACTGTTCACTACAATACAATACAATACAATACAATACAGTACGATAAGATAATGTTCAATTCAATAAAACTTATTCGATTTATTCTGAAAAATAAATAAGAGGTAATTATGAATCGATAATTGATTAGATCAACGGTAAGGGGCAGCCTGAAATCACTTGTGATATGTTCGACACTAGGTGCGTTTCAAGCTATTACGAGTTCACCTTAGTCGATAAACGCGAACGAGACTTTTACCAGCGTCCAGGTAGGCTACCTTGAATCCCAAGCTGAAAACAGAAGGCTTTGTAAGCGTAGAAAGTATATTCTACAAACACCCAGCAATCACAGTACAATCAAGCATACAACTCTCGTTTATTTATACATCATAGAAACGTCCTTGAGACAGTTAAGAAAATAGCACACTAATAAAATACACAGCAGCCAATCACAGCCATGGATTTTCCCGGTGGGAATTGAAATCTCAAGGTTAACTGATCAGTCCATGCTCGCAAACGGAGAATCCAAAATAAGGTATTTAACAAGCGAGTTTTGGGGAACTAACATCCCCAACGATAGGACAGTGGATTGTTGAGTTTCACTGTAACTACGAACTGATTAATAGTCAAAGGGTTAGGCATTTCCGCGCAAGACAGAAGGTCGTAGGTTCGATCATCGCCTGTAGAGTTGTCGGCTCACACTACTGAGGAGTCCTACACTGCGACGAAACGGCCTTCTGATGATCCCAAGTCTCCAATGCTGCTAATCTAACTTAAGTTAGTTCATGGTTTCAATGAAATCTGTTAGGATATTTATCAAATATCCTAAGAGAATTATTTTGTAAGTCTAATTTGATTGATCGTCCTAACTATCAATGTCACATACTTCAAATGTTGTTTCCTATTCGATCTAACTGTATAAATATACATTATCTGTAACGTTTCATGACCCAGATCCTAATTCCTCTTCTGTATTCGAATCGCATACTTTATGTATGCTTCTAGAACACACGTTCTACTTCATATCAAGACTTCTTCTTTTACTCAAAGGGGGTTTGGAACGCTCGGATTAGAGAAGTCTATCGTGTCGCCGGATCATCCGACCCTCGCTCTCGTTTTCCGTCTAAGGTAAACTCGTAACAGTTCAAGCATATCAACTGACGTGTTGACATGCATTCGTAACAAAGTCTTAATAAACTTTAGTCAGATGGTTATGCATTCGTAAACGATCATTTATATAAGTTTAGTTTATTCAGTACAAAAGTATTGACATTGAAAATAGATTCTGTGACTGAAATAGAAATTAAAATATCATTGAAGTGAATGCTAATTTGTTTGAAACAGTTTGAAAACAATATTTTTTGAAGCTGCAAAAAGTACATGAACGACAACAAAGACAACAAAATTTTGAATGAATTAGCTATCAAGACGAAATGTTCAGAGAATATTATTCATTAAAAACGGCAGCATTTCTTTAACTGAAGAACATCTGGAACTCAAAAAAACTATCAAAGTCACATTTTCCAATACAAATGTCAAGACAGTTATGTTACTGTATCGAGCGGAAACTTAGGGAACTACGCAAACCATCATCCACAAGATGCAGGTGTTTATTAACAGTTACTTTGGATCCATCGGCCAAAAACTATCAGCAAAAACCTACTGTAGGAGAGAACAAACCAGATTCTAGCAGACGAAGGAATCAGGAAGCGGTGGAGGTGGATAGTATACACATTACGGAAAACACTCAATTATGTCATAAGACAAGCCCTCATTTGGAATCCCCAGGATACACGAACAATGCTTCGGAGACACCTATGATCGGAAACTAGTGACCTACGAATATCTTCTACTCTCACTGGCCATGTTTCACAGCCATAAAGTAAGACGGGGCGAACTACAGAGCACTACGCTCGTCCTTTAAATAGCAAACGGATATCTCGCCTACGCCATAAGTGACGCAGGTTGGCAAAAGCCGATCGAGCTTTCTGTATCCGTGCTTAGATTTCGTCAGTCACCAGGCCATCAGCACGGATGAAACTCCCGAGATAAGTGAAGCAGTCTACATGCCCGACTGCTTCACTTCCTATCATTAGTTCAGAGGCCGACGCAACCCAATCTTGAAGCAACATTTTGCATTTCGACGGGAAGAATCGCATCGTGAACGTGCTTGCATTGTTGCTTAGGGTAGTGAGAAGATTCTGTATCTGCGTCCCCACCAAGTAGAACTATGTCATCGGCATATTCTAAGTCAACAATAAATAAAATATAATTTCATTTCATTGAATTAAAGTGGTATTATTATTTACCGTAAAAAAGGAATAAAAAACAATTTGCAAAATTTTTACAAACTCATATTACCTTGAAGACTTTTAGACAAATTTGATTTCAACGTATCAGCTAACTCTGGTAGATTAATATACAATGAACAATGCTGACCTTCAAGCATTGTTGTTATACTGGGTGATTGCATTTGACTAGAAAAGATGAACAGATACAAAACATTTACTGATTGATTGATTTATGCACATAAACATAAGTTACAAAAGGAGCAGTCGAAAATATTTATCCGCTACACCAATTATAGAATTCGTATATCGGCTGGAATACTGACCGGAAGTTTAAATTGAAGTAGGTGGTGTTTTTAGAGAGGGATAATGTGGTGCGCGCTACTTGTAAGTAGTAAATGACGCGAGTAAAAACGTAATGTCTGGCAGCAGAAGATGGGAGAAGATCAAGAAAGGAAGAGTGGGAACACAATGGAATTTGTATGAAACGCATGAATAGTGAAATGTCAGACAATGGATTGATGTTTTGCAACAGGAACAGTCCACTTCGATATGATGGGTTGATATTTTGCAAATTAACGATTTACGATATGGTTTTCCTATTTTACCAATTACCTCCGTAATTTGAGATAAATACAATTCGGTTGCCCTCACCTGTGTTCACCTTCACTACAATACTACCACCACCCCTAAATCAGGTCTCATATGGTCGTCGAAAAATGAAAATTTCGGAAATGCCAAAAAATCATCGCCCAACGTGAGACAAAGGGTAATAGAAGTGTTTGGGCCTATTTGCATCAAGCTGGGCTGCCACTTCAATACTATCCTACGCCATCATATATGTGTACACCATATGCTATGCTATACTGCTATATAGAGCTGAAGGTTACCTGTGAGACCAGAGGTTCACTGTGATGAACATTGTGGATGGCTTTGCTTTGCTTTGATAAGCATTGTTAACAGTCCATATAAAAAATTGGTTAGCAGGGTAACTGATTTGATTGATTCTACTAGTGGTTGTTTTGCAACATTCCTGAGGGCTATTATGATTAGGGTGCTGTATTACATATCACCATTGCTAATAACAATAATGAGTTTGACAGTCATGTAAGCGGGATGAGTCGAATTAGCCTGTTCATGCGGTGCATATTGATTGACGCGATCATGGATCGGAAATATATATACCAGTGTGTATATATGTAAATGGTGTGAATGGTCCACCAGGGTGTCAGATACCACCTGTTTGGTGGTTGCACCACAGGATTGAGCCGAACTGTTCATGTAGAAATGGTAACACATGAGCCAGTCTCTTTGGTTCTCCTGAAAACCACGAATGTAAAATTGCCCTTGACAATACAGGGTAAATTTATATAATTGTGAATAAACTAGTTGATCCTGCCAGCAGTCATATGCTTGTCTCAGAGATTAAGCCATGCATGTCTAAGTACATACCTTAATACGGTGAAACCGCGAATGGCTCATTAAATCAGCTATGGTTCCTTAGATCGTAAACGCTACATGGATAACTGTAGTAATTCTAGAGCTAATACATGCCTTGAATCCCTGACCCGTAAGGGGACGGGTGCATTTATTGTCCTTGACAATAAAGGGTAAATCTATATAATTTATAAATAATTGGTGTTTTTAAAGACGAATAGAACGTTTGATAAGCAACTTATATGAAAATTGTCATCAACTATCTCGTTTAATTCTTCAATAGTCTTCTCATTCTCTTATGATGCACAAATAGAAGCAAGGATTCTCCAGCGTTTTTTAACCATGATCACCACGTAAGGAGGGCACGATGTTGAAAATCATTATAGAATAACACTGAATACAGCCATTTTCAGAAGAAAGATCGCGATACATTTGATGCGATCTATTCACAGAAGAAAATGAGAGACGACCGACATAAAGAATGGGTTACCGGTATATATGAGAAACTTCCGACAGTGGAGGTCGGCATAATTAGCAGGAGTCATGTTAAAAAGCGTTGGTGAAGACATGTACAGAACTGACGTTTAAAGGAAAATGTTACGCATACACGTAAACATGTCATTTGAGATGTTTGAACTATTACGAGTTTACTTTAGACGGAAAAGGACAGCGAGGATCGAGGATCCGGAGACAGGACATGCTAATCTAATCCGAGCGTCCCAACCCCCAATTAATAAAAGATGACTTGAGATGAAGTAGAACCGGTATTCTACAAGCATCCAGAAAGTACGAGGTCCGAGTCCCGAAGAAGAAACGGATCCCGGACTAAGGATCTAGGTCCGGGTGATAAAACGTTACAGATAATGCGTATTTATACATTTAGGTCGAATAGGAAACAGCATCGAAGTTTGTGACATTGATAATCAGGACGACCAATACGAAACAACATTGGAGTACGTGACATTGATATTTAGAACGATCGTAAAATTGACCAGTAGAAATTAACCACTAGGAATTGACCAATAATTCTCTTAGGATATTAGATGCATATCCTAACAGAAAAGTTTAATGAGACATGGGGATATGAAATTGTAAACAAAACTGTGAGAAAAATCTCATACTTTTTAATTATTGTCTTCTTAATAGGATGAATCAGATATAATTAAATATCCGTGTTATGTTAATAGACTAAGTCTGTCAGCTATACCAGATTAGAACAGAGATATCGCATCGTCAATCCAAATATCATAGTAGTGCACATATGTTACGTATGCCTAAACACCAACTGCCTCGTCGAGTTATGTTTTGCGATATAGGAATAGCTTGGACGAAAGCTAAGGGTGGCTAGGCCAAAACATGGCACAAATCCATGAAGTCACTGACTAGTGGACTGAGTCATATTGGTAGGTGTCGACTAACTGGTTGGGATTCGCGAGATGATAATAATCGATGGTTCGAGACCCTGAGTGATATGGCTCAAAACCGTTTGCAATGGTGCAGGTGCATTTACTCTTTGTTTTCTATGAAATTCTGACCTTCTGAATGAATCAGCACCTCTATCTTTCTCTTTCTAAATTTATCTTACTGCATTAAACTTCTTGAATAACATTTTCGAACCCTAATCTCTCCGATTACTGCTAATACTTTTACTACGTCTACTACTATGTGAATTGAATTGACAATTATATCTCTGTGCTAATGTGGTATGGCAACCTGAACTGATGTACTTACGTACGACGTTCTACATTGCTGTTGAGGATGAATGTCATGGTAGTAGAGGTATTAGCAGTATAAGCGGTAATCGAAAAATGTGAGGATTGAAGATATCATTCGAGAAGTATAATCCAGTCAAATAAATTTAGAACAAGAGAAAAAAATGTCATGTGGAATTCGAAAAAACAGTAGAATTTGAAAGAAGACAATGAATGGATGCATTTGTGCCACTGCAAAATGATTTTGAACCATATCAGTCTCTAGTCATTGGTTACTATTATCTCGCCGACCCATACGAGGTAGTCTACACCGACTAACACGGTTCCGGCCAGTTGTCAGTGACTTCATGGATTTGAAACCATGTTATAGTTTGTTTGGCCGCCTCCTCCGATCTACTTATAAGCAATGATAATATAAATTGTGCATTGGAAACTAGAAAAAAATATAAAATTACTTGAGATGAACATACGCTTACAAAACAAAGCTCCACAATAACAAATAAACGCAGACATCTATTAATTACAACATTGAAGAAGTATAATAAAACAGAGAGAAACTATTTGAAGCTTTTATAAAATAAATTTATCTAGTGTATTTTTTTCTTCTTAATTTTACACAACGTATTATATCATCATTAATTCAATGTAATACTTACAATTCCGGATCTGTTTTCAAAATATTAATCACATCTTTCAATGTACAAGGTGTTTGTAATTTAAGTGTTCGTGGTACATTGTTACAAGCAAGACAATCAGGCTAAAAAAAAAATAAATTTCAATAAAAAAATATACAATAAAATTAAAATAGAAGGTAAATTTTTTTCTGAAATGGTATTCAGTCAGTCAGTCAGTCAGATGCAACGTAGAACTTCGTACGTAGGTAAATCAGTTCATGTTGCCATACCACATCAGCACAGAGATGTAATTGTCAATTCAAATCTCATAGTAGAAGAGGTAGTAAAGGTATTAGAAGTAGTCGGAGAGGTTAGGATCAGAAGATATTATTCTAGAAGTATGATTCAGTGAGATAAGTTTAGAAAGACAAAACTAGAGGGGTTGAAGAATCCAGAAGATTAGGATTTGAGAGAACACAAAGAATAAATGCACCTGCACCACTGCAAGCGATTTTGAGCCATGTCCTTCAAGGTCTCTAACAATCGATTATTATCATCTCGCGGACCCCAACCAGGTAGACGACAATTACTGACATGGCTAAGTCCACTAGTCAATGACTTCATGGATTTCTGCCATGTTTTGGTTTGGCCGACCCTAGCTTTCTTCCAACCTACTCCTACACCACAAAACAAAGCTCGTCGCGGCATTCGGTGGTTAGCCATACGTAACACATGTCCCAACCACCTCAACTGATGAAGTTTCAATACTTCATCTATTGACTTGCCATCCCTACACCTAGAACTCGTTTCCTAACGACAGCATTGCTTATACGGTTGTCCCATGATACAAGAGCAATGCTTTACCGAACTCTACGTTGCAACTGTCTGTCCTATCACTGTCCATTTGACTACATAATTAACAGTTAAACGACAAAAAAAACACAGTTATCTGATTGACATATTTCAATTCTGTCAGAAAATCTCATGAGGAAACAATCGATCGATTAACAATTAAAATAAAAAATCTAGAACAACAAAATCCAATAAGAATCACTTACTTTACGTTCCACTGAAAATCCATACGTATAAACTCCATCGATATCACTGAAATTCATATAATTATTCAAATAATCATAACAGAATGTAATCAATTTGAAGACCTGTTGAGATCATCGTAATAATCATCGTCATCAGAAGACAAAGAACAAGAAGAAGAGATTACATTAGAGTTATGTTAGTTTGATGAATAGCTTGTATAGATAGATAGGTAAATATATATATGACCCACTCACTATATTACTACTGTAGTGAAGGAGAACACAGGTGAAGGCAACCGAATTGTAAAATAGGAAAACCATATCGTAAACGGTTAATTTGCAAATCTTCAATCCATCATCAATCCATTGTCTGACATTTCACTATTCAAGCGTTTCATATAAATTCCATTGTGTTCCCACTCTTCCTTTCTTGATCTTCCCCCATCCTCTTCTGCTGTCAGACATTACGTTTACACTCGCGTCATATACTACTTATAAGTAGCGCGCACCACACTACTAACTACAGTTCATTTTATATGAACATTTTATTCATTGATTTATTTATGTACCTAAATTACTGGTTCAATATTGGAACCGAAACTTAGTACACAAATGGAATGATATGTGTAGAAAGGATTTGATTCTGAATGATTTGGTCTTATATGCTGTTGCCAACTTGCGTCATTTATGGCGTTGGCGTGATATCCGTCTGCTAACCAAACGACGAGTTTACTGCGCAGTAGTTCGTTCCGCCCTATCATATGGCTGCGAGACATGGCCAGTCAGAGTAGGTTGCCGGTTTTCGATCATAGGTGTCTCCGAAGCATTGCTTGTGTATAATGGGACAACCAAGTAAGCAATGCTGTTGTTAGGAAACGGATGGAAGATCAATAGATGAAGAATTGAGACCTAACCAGTGACAGCCTCATCAAGCTATGTTTTGTGATGTAGGAGTACGTTGGAAGAAAGCAAAGGGCGGCCAAACAAAACCATGAAGTCACTGACAAGTGAACTGAGTCATGTCGGTAGGTGTCGACTAACTGGTTGGGGTCCGCGAGACGATAATAATCGGTGTTTAGAGACCCTGATCGATATGGCTCAAAATCGTTTGCACTACTGTAGATGCATCCATTCTTTGTGTTCTCTCAAATTCTAATCCTCTGCATTCTTGAATAATTTATTCAAACCCTAATCGTCTGCATTACTGATAATAATTCTACTACATCTACTAACTATTATGGGATCAGAATTGACAATTGCGTCTCTATACTAATATGGTATGACAACCTGAACTAACGTACGTACGTACGTACGTTCTACGTTGTACCAGGTTTTTTAACCTGGAAACACTGGACGGTCGTTTCACCTAGAATGGGGACTCATCAGCAGTGAGCAGCATCTAATGGTAATAAAAATAATAGACTTGTGTTTATAAATTCCTTTAAATATTGGATTTTATTAGAAGTTAAGAAAAAAGAGTTTATGAATAAACAAAACTATGAAACAAAATAAGATACAGATAATTAAAATTAAAAAAACAACAAAATTTGTAGTATTCATATAAGGAAAGAGATGTTAATATCTTCTGATGTTCTGTGACTCAGTTGAAACCAGTTCAACTACTCTCAGTAGTGCTTAATTTATTTGAACTTTGTTTGGTAATGCTACCTAGAACCGATAAACTAATTGATTGTCAATATTGGATTGTGTAGATGTAGACGAAATCTCAGCGCGGATACAGAAAGCTCGATTGGCTTTTGCCAATTAACGTCGTTTATGGAGTAGGCGAGATATCCGTTCGTTAGCCAAAGGACGAGTGTACTGCGCAGCAGTTCGCTCTGTTCTCCTATATGGATGTGAAACATGGCCGTTAAGAGTAGAAGATGTTCGTAGGTTACTAGTATTCGATCATCGATATCTTAGAAGCATTGCTCGTATATCGTTGGACAACCGAGTAAGCAATGCTGTCGTTGGGAAACGAATACTAAGTAAGGATGGCAGATCAATAGATGAAGTATTGAAACTTCATCAGTTGAGGTGGTTGGGACATGTGTTACGAATGCCTAACCACCGACTGCCTCATCGAGCTATGTCTTGTGATGTAGGAGTAAGTTGGAAGAAAGCAAGGGGCGGCCAGACCAAAACATGGCACAAATCCATGAAGTCACTGATAAGTGGACTAAGTCATGTTGGTAGATGTAGACTACCTGGTTGGGGTCCGCAAGACGAAAGTCACCAACGGTTAGAGACCTTGAACGACATAGCTCAAAATCGTTTGCAATGGCGCAAGTGCATTCATTCATTGTGCTCTCTCTAATCCTAATCTTCTGGATTCGTTAGCACCTCTACCTTTGTGTCTTTCTAACCTTATCTCACTGAATTATACTTCTTGAATAATATCTTCAAACCCTAGTCTTCTTCATTACCAATAATACCTCTACTATCTTTATCATTATGGGATTTGATTTGACATTTGCGTCTCTGTGTTAATGTGATATGGCAACCTGATCTTTTGTACATACGTACGAAGTTCTACGTTGCAACTGACTGACTGACTGTGTAGATGGTTGGATTTCATTGAAATCATAAATCGATCTACGTTAGAAGACATGGAAGCACTGTACAGTCATTTCCTCCCAGTATGCGATTCCTCAGTAGTACGCGTCCATGAACAATATCCATGTGACAATCGAACCCAGGAACCTTCGGTCTCATATGTGTGAATATGAATGCATTTCAATGAATTGTATTTTATTGAATACCAACAACATCAGACTAACCTCAGTTGCACATGCAGCTGCAATAACAGCATTGGTTGAAGCAACAGCAGGAATTATTCGTTTTACAACACCTTGTACAAGACGTAATGTAACACCTGAAATCCCAAATTGATTAGCTCTTTCACATGACTTTTCATATATCCATTGTATGTGTTCAGGTGAATCACCATCGATCACAATATTATCTGTAAAAAAACCAGATATGATAAACACTATAAAATTATAAGTGATAGTCAGTCAGTTACAACGTAGAACTTCTTACGTACGTGAGTACATCAGTTCAAGTTACCATACCACGTTAGCACAGTGACACAATTTTGAATTCAAATCCCATGGTAGTAGAGGTATTAGCAGTAATCAAACAGATTATTGATCGAATATATATCTTTCGAGATGTATACCCCAGAGCAATCGATTAAAAAAAGATAGGAAAACGGTCATGAGGAATTCAGAAGATTAGGATTTGACACAGCACACATAATGGATGCACCTGAACCATTGCAAACTGTTTCGAGCCATATCATTTAAGATCTCTAACCATCGATTACTATCATCTACCCAGACAGGTATTCTAGACTTACCATCATAGCTCAGTCCACTTGTCAGTGACTTCATGGATTTGTGCGATGTTTTAGTTTGGCCGCCCCTAGCTTTTCACCAACATACTGCTACACCACAAAACATAGCTCGACGAGGCAGTCAGTGGTTGGGCAAGCGTAACACATGTCCAAATCACTTCAACTGATGATCATTCACTACTTCATTCATTGACCTGCCATCCCTACATAGTACCCACTTCCTAACAACAGCATTGCCTACTCGGCTGTCCCATGATATACGAGCAATGCTTCGGAGACACCTATGATCAAAGACCGGGAACCTACGAATACCTTTTACTCTGACTGGCCATGTTAGTGACAATAATAATCACAAATAATAATGATAACAGCTTCACATTACTGAATTATTAGTATCGATTATGTAACATCCCCTTTGACATACTATCAAACTGTAATTATTAGAAACACACATTTCATTTATTAGCATCTTCCAATTCAATCCAATCATTAAAATCTCTAAAAAGGCTCAGGTGCTAAGGCCCTATCTTCACATCCATCATATATGCACACATAATATGCTTGATTTGTAAATATACCAAGAACTGCTGTATTTTTATTTGAGTTTTCAAGTACTTATAGCACGATAAAAAAAAAGTTTCCAACTATTCTATAATATATATGTAGCACGTGAGCACATAACTCCGCCAGTAGAACCTTCGGGGCTACTGCCGGTCCCAAACCCGGGTAAAAGAGGAGGGTTGGACATGGGGTTGGCGACCTCATTCCGTCGAAATCTAACTTGCCAAAAAAACGCTAACCAGAAAAAATAATTCAAACCGTTTTAACTCTGCCCTGGGTGTTGGAAGAAGAATAATGACGTCGCGTGATGAAAGCCGAGTTCCCTCCTGGTCATCGACTGGATTATGAAGACGTCGACATCTTCTATCTCACACGCAACAACAAATGAAAGAGAAGACGACCAGTGTAGCAGCAGCCTCTGCAGCAGTAGGTCTCAACATACATAAAGGAAAAAGCCACATTCTCCGATGCAACACAACATGCACCAATCAAATCACTCTTAATGGAGATGCCTTGGAGGACGTTAACCACTTTCACATATCTGGACAGCATCATCGACGAGAAAGGTGGATTAGATGCAGATGTGAGGGCGCGGATTGGCAAAGCAAGGGCCGCGTTTCTACAGTTGAAAAATATCTAAAACTCCAAACAACTTTCAACCAAAACCAAAATCACGATTTTCAATACAAATGTCAAGACAGTTCTACTGTATGGAGCGGAAACATGGAGAACTACCAAAGCCATCATCCAGAGGATACAAGTGTTTATTAACAGCTGTCTACGCAAAATACTTCAGATTCGTTGGCCAGACACCATCAGCAATAACTTACTGTGGAAGAGAACAAACTAGATGCCAGTGGAGGAGGAAATCAGGAAGAAACGGTGGAAGTGGATAGGACACACTACGAAAAGCACCCAACTGCGTCACGAAACAAGCCCTCACATAGAACCCTCAAGGCAAAAGAAAAAGAGGAAGGCCAAGAAACACACTACTCCGAGAAATAGAGAAAGATATGAGAGGAATGAACAAACATTGGACAGAACTGAAGAGGGACGCCCAGGACAGAGTTGGTTGGAGAAAACTGGTGAGCGGCCTATGCTCCATTGGGGGTAACAGGCGTAAGTAAGTAAGTAACGTGAGCACATGGAGTTGACAGTTATAATGATTCAGCTCAAAACATATCTGGATAAAGAAAGGTTAGTTGAAATATTGTTACAGTTGGATAGCAAGAAAGCAAAGTGTTAGAACAAACTACTTTAACGTTTTATTCAGTAGTACAAATATACACAGATGAAAACTACATGTATTTTGTACGAACACAGTGAACAATAAGTGTGGTTTGAATTGTTATATAAAATATCGAAAAAACCTGACTACTAGTAAATGTAGATGATATGTAGAGAAGCGATCGACAAAATAAGAAATGGATCTCTTGTGTTTACTGAAACCAGAAAATAAGCCAACCAACTTTTAAATCAGGTTACAATATTGTAATCATGAGAAAAAAAATGCACCGACCAAATCACACGGTGAAGCGCTGGAAGATGTAAAAACCTTTAGTATATCTGAGCAGCATCATTGACAACCAGGGTGGATCTGATGCAGATATGAAGGCGCGGATCAGCAAAGCAAGGGTAGCACGTCTACAATTTTAGAACATACATCTAAAACTCAAAACGACTATCAACCAACACCAAAATCATAATTTTCAATACAAATGTCAAGACAGTTATTCTACTGTATGGAGCGGAAACTTGGAGATCCATGAAAGCCATCAGTTGTCTACGTAAAATACTTCCGATCCGTTGTTGGCTAGATACCATCAGCGACAATCTACTTTGGGAGAGAACAAACCAGATACCAACTGAGGAAGAAATTATTAAAAAGAGCTGGGAGTGGATAGAACACACATTGAGGAAAGCACCCAACTGTGTCACAAGCTAAGCCGTCACATGGAATCCTTAAGGCCAAAGGAGAACAGGAAGACCAAATAACATATTACGTCGGGAATCGGAAACAGACATGAGAAGAAAGAACAGCAGTTGGATGGAAATGGGAAAGAAGGCTTAGGAGAGGATAGGTTGAAGGATGCTGGTCGGCGACCTTATGCTCCATTAGGGGTACCAGGCGTAATTAAGTAAGAAAACATTTACAAAGAGGTTGCGTATCTCAGCGACTTTAATGACTAAATTAAATAAAACATATTTGACTGGTCGTCACACATCTTAAACATGAAGAGTTCACCACAGAATTAGAACTATTAGGACAGAACCAACCAATCATGTCTCTTACTTGTTGATGCAGGGAGAAATCGATAACATAGAACCTGCTAGGATGCTGATGTATCAAATTAACGTGATAAGATGTGTAGTGTGTACCACTTGTATATCACACCAACAAGGTCTAGTTTAGCATCTGAACAATCCAGTTCACATATTATTCCCGAGTTATTATTCGCACGCATTTTGACCGTTGATCGTTGCTCAAAGCAGTTGACAAAAAACTATTTATTTTCATAGCTTTTATATCATACAAAATTACGCCATCCGTATCAACAAACGATCTACATCTGAAAAGTTAGGTGAAGAGTTTTAGTTTTGGGAGAAATTAAACAAAGGTAGGGATAGCACCGTTAAGTTTGTCACTAGGTACGCTTGATAAACGGGAAAGAGACAATTACCAGAGTCCAGGTAGGCTACCTTGATCCCAAAATGCAAAACAGAAGTCTTGATAAGCGTAGAAAGTATATTATACAACACCCAGCAAGAACAATCCAATCATAGAAACGTCCTTGGGACAGTCACAAAAATAGCACACAAAAATACACAACAGAAAATCACAGCCAAAAATTTTCCCGGTGGGAAATGAAATCTCAAGGTCAAATGATCAGTCTATGCTCGCAAAAGTGAAATCCAAGATAAGGCATTTATCAAGCGAGTCTTGGGGATCTAACATCCCCAACACTTCTCCCCTTTTTAATAGCGTGTGCTCCTGAGGTCGACTTGCATCTTGACTGTCGCTCGCCGCTGTCTGAGAGGATATCTACTGGAACGAAGAACAGCTTGCTGAGTTTCTTCTTGTGATGGGGCTGCCGGTAGGCTGAAGGCATCAAGCAGGATGTCAAGGGGAAGGTTTTCTGCTCTTGATGGGCGATCTGGGACGTATCTGATTTCGATGACGTGACCATTTATCACCTCCTACCTCTACTTCGTACATAACTCGCCCAACTCTTCTGACCACTCGCGCTTCTCCGCAAGGACTATGGTTCGTTCTGTAGTTACGGGCAAACACATGGCATCCCACATCGTAAAAGGATTATCTTTGAGGCCTTGTCTCTACTGATGTTGGTGCGTTAGTCGGATGCATAAGGCTGTAAATCGTTTTCAGTCTTCTTCCCATTAGGATTTCTGCTGGGGACTTGTGCTCCGGTAACAACTCATTTGGTGTTGTTCGATAGACGTACAAGAAATTTTGCAACGGGTCGGCTGGTGTCCCCTCCCTTTTTGACTCAACCAATCCTCGTTTAAACGTATCCACAAACCTTTCCGCTTGCCCATTCGATTGCGGGTGGTATGGTGGCGAGTGTAAGTGTTTAATGGCTAGCTGTTGACACGAAGTTTGGAATTGTGTGGAGGCAAATTGAGAGCCATTGTCAGATACGACCACATCTGGTATTCCATTTCGCGAGAAAATTTCAGTTAGGAGCTGTATTGTCTTAGTTGTAGTGCGTGGCATAACGGGATTGATTGCTGGCCATTTTCAGAAGGCGTTGATCACAATTAAATACATAGTTCCATTGATTGGACCAGCGAAGTCGACATGTATCCTGCACCAAGGATGATCAGGTTTGGGCCATGAAACCGGCGGAATTTCGGCATTCATCTTTGCCGCCTGTTGACACTGCATGCATTTTTCAACCAACGCTGTGACATGTTGATCCCTGTGAGGCCAGTATGCATAACTCCTGGCTATGGACTTTATTCGTTTAACCTCAGGATGACCGAGATGGAACTGTCTCAGCACTTTTGCACGAAGAGATTCTGGC